TGACCTACACATTCGAACTTGCACTCAGACTAAGATTTGAACTTTTAATAGGAGTCTAAGACCAAAACTTAAGACTTGAACTTGATCTTGAACTTGGTATTATATCATTAAACTTGACCTCGTTCTGAGAATTGTGGGATTGTTATTGGGTCTAACGTAACCAAGCACTATATACTTTCATCCCTACACGAGTAATTTCTTCATTATTTCTGGTACCTGGATGGATATGATTTAGTAAATGCCTACTTGAGTAGTAGAAGTATTTAATAATAATAATGTTTTACTTACCTTCAGCCTTTTAGATTACATTCCTCTGCCTGGGTGACACATTCTACCTGTGCTCTCTCTGTTGTAGATGTAGCCAGGTGTCCTTGCCCCTATGCACCTTGATCTCACCTAAAATAATAACTTATTTGTTATAAACCTACATTTACTGTAATCAGGTCCAAACTACAATACAGTCCCCCACATTGTTCCTCTAAGCTAATTCCATCACATTATGGGACTGAATATTTGTATTATTAACTGTACATTTTGGTTAAACTTGAGATTTATTAAATTTATTGTTTGAAGTTCAGCCAATATATTGAAGGCTTTTTGTAGGTACAGTATTGGTATTAAAAAGACTTATAATTCATGATATTGAAAACGTTATAACCACCAAATGATTGTTGTGATTGTCGATATGCCTGCACTGATCCCGCCGCTATATTAAACAGAATGTACTTTGATAACTGGTAGCAATATATATAATCGGTAATAATACTAGCTGGGACTCAGGGCATAGTGACGTCCTTTTATGTAGTCCCTAACCAAAGACTAAATAAGTAAGACAGGAAAGCAAGGCAAAAATCACGTAAGCCACAGCTCATATAGTTGGCCGCGGGATCAACAGATGGCGATAGTGTGCAAGACGCGGGCATCACCCATTGCTTTATGCACACGTACAGAAACAGATCACCCTGAGCTTGTGTTGAACGTTTTTATATATCATTGATCATATAGAATTTACTGTGTGATATTGTATGTGTGTGTGCATGTGTACAATGAAAGACAAAAGTCGTGTCGTGAAATTTGGTGAAAACCTATACCAAAGGGTTAAGCTTCTGGTGGCTGCCTTGTGGTAGGGGCTCCAATAATGGTTCACCAGTTGTATTATTCTTCTGACAAAACCACGACACGACTTTTGCCTTTGATTGTACACATTAAGAACGTAAAAGCAGATACGTCTTGACGTCTTTGCCTTGACGTTCTTAATGTATACACACACACACACACACATACAATATCACACAGTAAACTCTATATGATGAATGATGTATGAAAACGTTAAACACAAGCTAACTCCGCTGGTTACCATGGAGACACAGACACGCTGCCCTCACCGACCCGGGCTCTTAGTTAGCCGCGTTGCCAGCAGATGGCGGTGAAGGTGATTCATAACTTGCAGCAATTGTATAATTGTGCAAGAGAAAAAATGTTATTTTATTTTCTGAACTCATTTAAGAACTTGAGGCAATGGTGTCGGTGAAAATCATACAGTAGTGTTTTCACTCTCTCTTTATGTGTATAAATACATGCATACATAAGATGAAGATTGAGGTATAAAATAAATGGAAACCGTAAAAAACATCACTCATGACGTCACATCAACATCTATGACGTCACGAATAGCTTTTGGACAAAGCCACTAGATGGCGCTATTATTGAGGTATCTGACAACTGTACCGTACACACATTTGATATATTTTACAGGAGCTTTCCTATCATGAATATATAGTCTTTGGAGCAAGCGACCTGCTCGGTCCAAGCGTGAACAAAGGGTAAAATACAACACTCACCCACAACGGCAGATTATTTCAAGAAATATTTACGGCAAATAATTAATTTCTTCTCGTACAGTAGGGGCATCACTTTAATCTCATATGTCAGTTTTTCACTGTTTTACCCTGCAATTCACCTCATTCTTCAAATACCCTGCCCACTACAGGTGATTTCTGATTGTAGATACAAAAAACTAAAAGGGAGATTGTTACTAAAATAAAAAGTTGCCGTAATGCTTTTAATATTATTCAAACAACATCTGTTACGCTGTGGAAAAAATAACGAAATGGCACAACTGGTGTCAGCCGTCCGCTTCAGTATTACCGTCTATTACAGTATTATCATTCTCTCACTTTATGTAACTTGACAGAACCTATGACCCTTCAGGCTTTAACGCCCTTAATGTACGAGTCATAAAGGCAAGTATGAACTCTTCACACTTCCCTGTTGGCCGCTGTAAACGCTTCACCTTGCACAGGATGTAAGGGGGTGCCCAATAAACTAGCCCCCTCGGCGGCAAATTTGAATCTGATTTATCCTCTGATCATAAATTACTTGTTTTTAAGCATTGCACGAAAGAAAATGGGAACATCTAGGTAAAAACACTGTGAACACTGATCATCCGGCAGTAATTTCACGGCTCTTACGTCTTTTGTGGGCGAAATATTTACCGTAAATTTTGGCGCCAAGGCATCTCCCGTCTGGTGTACCCTCCAGTCTCTCTCAGGCCGTTTATCATGATTTACAGTACATTGGATTGAATTAATTCATTTTTAATAGAGATGCACAGGTCAGGAAGTTAAGTTAGTTAGGTTTGGTTGGGTAGGGTAGATGATGTAAGGTTGAGCAGGTTTGGTTAGGTCAAGTTCTAATAGGTTCTGTGCACTTACGTTTCCATTTTGGTGTTCAGCATCATGGACAATATATTGTAGTGGACTCCATCACCCGCGCGCCTACCACCCAAGCAGCCTACAGCTTTATTTCCACGTTTAGAAGCTCCAAAAGTTGTTGGTAGCGAAAGTCAGAGCGGGGAAGATGACGGAGGAAGGAGCAGGAGGTTAGGAAGGGAGAGATAGTGCCGTGGGTTTACACGACTACGTTTATTGGGTGTGTGTGTGATCCTCGGGTCACTACTCCTCCGGGTTGTGTTAGAAGCTCCAACAACTTTTCCCTGAATACGAATTCGCAACCTATCGATTTACAACAGGTACTTACTTTACTGCTAGGTGAACAGGGACCAAGGGGGCGAGGAAGAGTGTCCAAACATCTTCCGCCTGCCCGGGAATCGAACCCGTGTATGTACTCTGATCGATTGTGTTATCCACGAAAAAAAAAAATATGGTCAAATTAGTGTACAATATTTTTTCTTAGAATGTATTTTATTCAAAGTAAAGGTTATTCAAATTAAGTGGGTTTTTTCACTGACTGAAATGTTCGTTTTTCTTATGTGTTCTGCCTCCCATTCTTCCCAGCAATAAATGACATGTCAATGTTTGTAGATTAAAAATTACGATTGAAGGCTTATGTGTAACCGTAAGATTTTTATATATATATATATATATATATATATATATATATATATATATATATATATATATATATATATATATATATATATATATATATATATTGAAAGCTTCAGCTGTATATAATTTTGGAGAAACCTCTGTACTATAACAACATTAAGCATTTGAAGTCAGTAAAACAGTTCTCAGGGTAAATTTGCACTTTCAATCAATATGGCTCTCGAGTTGAGCGATGTGTTTTACCAATAGTTTAAACAATTTCATGCCACCTTTCTTCTATGAGGTTTCCTCGCAAATGGCTTACATATACCGGGGTATCCAGGGAGTGGAGCCTTCGGTTACATAATTTTAGGTCATTTGCGAGAGAAATGTCATAGAAGAAAAGTGTCATAAAATTGTTTAAACCATTGGAAAAACACATCACTCAACTCGACAGCCATATTGATTGAAAGTGCAAAATTGCCCTGAGAATTATTTTGTCTTGTGAAATCAACGAGTATCAGCTTGCAACTACATATATTTCCTTGATCTAGAGAATTCAGAACTTTTCTTTTCAGGTCACTTTTCTTGTCCACCTTATACCTAATGGCCACCCACTAGAGGTGGCCATGCTGAAGGATGAGACCAGTGGCTTGTCAAGACTATTTTGAAGCCCAATACTGTTCTTGATGCCACAGCTTGGGCTGGTACACTATTCCAAAGGTGTATCACCATCTATGTTAAAAGTATTTCCTTAAGTTCGTTCTGCATGATAACTTGGTGAATTTGTAGTCATGTCCCTTTGTGTTATTCGTGCGTGACATTACTAAGAAATGGCCCTGGTTCACGTTTTCCATCCCTTTCGAGATTTTGAATGTTTTAATGAGATCTAACCTATTGTGCCTCGTCTGAAGGGTTGTTAGTCCTAAGGCTCTCAGTCAATGTGGATATTCTACATGACATAGTTCCAGAAGTATCTCAAGTCATTCCATGTTGCACTTTTTCTTGGGATGTTAGGTCTTTCTAGAGGTAGGGTTTCCATGCCTGTATACAGTTATCCACACTGAAACGTATGAGATTTGTCCAGTTAAAGGAGCATTTTCCTGTCTTTGAACATGCACTTTATGATTCCCAAATCTTTGGTGAATGATCTATATGCCACCAGGTTCTAGGCTGAGTCCACATCCAGTACCTTGTGTGTTGGTGGTAGAGCTGTAACACAAGTACAATAACACGAGGGTTTGAGCCTTGGCAGCTGTAGCCTATGGCACCTCTTGTCAATCTCTATTCAAATCAATTAGTTGCCCATTGTACAACTGGCGATGTTGGCTGAGTAGGTATGCTTTTTACTTCCAGTTAATGATGTTATTTTTACAGCCGAGTTAACTGCCAATAAGACAGCATTGAACCCAATCTTTTGGTGCTCCCAAAATACACCCCATCAAAACTAATGAACACTTTCACACTCAAAAGGCTGTCTGATGACAAATCAAAATGTGTATAATACACTGCACCCATTACTTAATATCCATAATTGTTTGTGTAACTGAGAGCAAAAAGATAAACCACAAACAATGAAATATTGCACACCACAACACCACACCTCAACACCACACCACAACACCACACCACACCACAACATTCAATATGGATTAAGTGAAAGAAACTCAACACTATTAGTATACTGTATTTCATCATACTATTGTTACATGCTGCAAATAATTAAGAATAAATGATAAGCTTATGTTGTGTTGCTACATACTTTGGTAACTCCTATCACAGAGCTATGACAATCATAGCATGCAAGAAATTAGAAGAAAGGTCATAAATTTGTTGTGGAAATAATTTGTAGTAGCGATTGAGGAACAAATCAAGGTGAATTATTATTAATAAAATATTCTGATTATTGCAGGACCTTACATTCCTGTCCTAAGCCGCTTATATTACAGGACTATAAAATATTGACACGTTAACTGAGACTTGTCTTAATAATCCCCATATACAGGAACACATTTATAAGGATACAGTAAGTAGTTACAGTATATAATTTGTGTATCTCCATCCAACAGTGTACAGTATTACTGGGACATACAAAACTAGCACAAGATTTATACCCAACACACTACAACACAAACATTTAGTTGACAAACATAAAACCAAACAATGTAATTTTCACCAAATCAAGAATTTTTGGTTGTTATGAGAGATTAACACATTTACTGTATATTGACAGTAGAAAAAACCACTACTACAAAAGTAGATTGAATCAGTCTCCAAATCTCAGTTAAACTAAATTGTCAATGTCTGATTTATTAAGGTAATGAAACAAATGACATATTAACACAACATATAGTTTTAAGTCAAAGAGAATGAGTGATGACAACACCCCCACAACTATAATTACTGCATAAATAAATGTGCAAAGTTGGACCCTATGATGAACAATTTTAACCCAATACTAATTTACTACAGTAATTATGAAGCTGGGAAAGAGTAAGCTAACTCACTACAGAGCAGCTTCAGCAGTAATGAACTGTGTTCAATATTCTAGAGTGAAGGATTTATCGCTATATCCCATTTATTATTGCTCAAGTGTGTCAAAAGTTCTGCTAACAGCCTTCTATCGCCTGATAAATGACCATTATTCTTATAATAAACAACATATGCAGTAATAAAAACAAAGAGTTTTAAGTTTGGTGTTCCCTTGGTCCAACAATTTGACTGTTATTAGTAGCAATACTAATTGGATACAACTCCTACAGCTATTAACTACTACATAACAAACAGGCTGATTATTTTAATTTGAGAACCTTAAATAATTCCCATACAGTACATTAAAAAAATAGATAAGTTAGGAACCCAAATTTTGTGTAAATATTAGAGAAAGACTTAACATGGTCCTCAGAGTTAGCAGGTACAGTATTACACTTCACGGTACAGCATCAACGAGCTCGGGCTACTCTGCGATGATCGTGTAGTGTCCAAGGCAATATGGGCACCTCGATCCCCATATCTTACGCCATCACAATTCTTTTTGTGGGGATATTTGAAGGATATGGTGTACGTTACAAATCCACGCACTCCTGGCAATAATCAGCGACACAATCAGCAACCTTGCCCAACAAATGCTACACTGTGTTGGAGGGCATGCTGATAAGAATAAATATGTGCCTGCAACAAGATGGTGGACACTTTCAGCACTTCCTTTAAGGTAATCAATTGTATGGATCATGTAACGTCTTTCTGAAACTATTAGGTTAGATTTACATAAAATATTAGGGTTCTAACTGATATAGTTTTTAGTGTATGGGAATCAGCCTCTATTACAAATCTTTTCCGTTTATATTTCTTTGACTGACATTAAAAATTACATTGCCTGTGCATCTTCACTTGTGATGCAGTCTTTCAGTGTCCTGGTCAACCACTTGTAGCTAACAAAGACCAGCAATTTCCAAATACTGTACCTGGTAAAATGGGATATACTGTACCTGTACTCCCAAACAATACTCTCAACTTTTTCCCCTGGGCTGCACACCTAAAATGACCTTTCTTACCATTTCAATACATTATGTGTCATCAGCTTAGTGTAGTTTCAAGATAAATAAAGCAGCCACTGGCAGGTGAACAACCAAATAACTAAACATTTGGGGGTAAAGTGTTCCTAAAATGTAAAGATAACCCTGAACATCTAAGTACAATGCAATACTGTATTCAGGAAAAATCACCAAAGACAAATAATAAGACCAAAATTTTGAGGACGAACCAAGACTCTCCATTTCAATATTGTACCACGTTGGTGTCAAACGTTAATCTTCATTTTACGAGAGTAACGGCTCACTGACATGTTAAAAAAAAGTATTCCCTCAAATATATGAGCCTATTATGTAGTAATATTTTTGAAGTGGAGAAAAATCATCTAAGACACTAGTGTAGAGAAGACTTGCTACTGTATTCTACAAGTCTGATACCAATTTTATAATTATTTCTCTGGCCTATTACAACCAAATTCAATACTGTTTAAGATTCCTAAATCTACAAGACAGTGGAAAATATAAGACTAAATTCCACAAAATCTCTACTGTAGCTCAGATAATCTTGCCCTGCAACAGAATTAGATACCACTAAACTTACTCAGTTTCTTAACATGTACTGTACTCAGAAAATATAACTAATATACTGTACTTGGATCTCAAGATTAGTGATAAGAAATTCTACTTTATACTAAATACTGTGAAGTTTTATGTACATCTTAAATTACTTCCACTAATGGACCACACAAGGCAGATTTCCAGCATCAATAAAATATTAAATTTAATGACAACCAAATAATATGCACCATTAACCTCTAATAAATGCTAATATAACTGTGTATTAATCCCATAACAGTAGAGTGCCTCACTGTCTCAGTCCCCTTGTGAATCATTGTCCTCCTCCTTGTGTTATTCACAGTATTATATTATGGTAAATTAAACAATTATGAAATCTAATAAGAACTCATATTCAATCACTATCTCTGAAGCTATGACAAATAGGTGTCCTCTATTTAATAATCTTCAAAAATCTCATTCAAAATTCAACTTGCCTACACTCAACTCTGTCTGCCTGCCTAAGTTTCCCTCACATATTTCACTCAACAGAAGAACCCTCAAGTTCTTTACCCCCTCAACATTCAAGTCTGATATATTAAACCCTTGTGTCATAGGAATATATAAATCAACCACATATTTAATAGTGTACTTGAAATAAACATCAAAACATAATAATATTTTTTTTCCAAACTGAAGCACTACCATTAAAGGTCTTTATCACCCTCACTTGAACTGTGACATTAATCTAAGTGTGTTTGTTATGTGGTAAGGGATCGAGGCTCTTTTTATCTGCACATGTACATCATAATTGAACTTCCTGCATAAGAACAAGTGGAACAGACGCTCCCACACACACCATCGATAAGAATGGATGGCCTGTCTGAATGATATCACACATACAATAACATGAAACAATTATGTATGGCAATGTTTTGCTTTAAAATGTGACTTCTCCAACTGTGATTTACATAGTTGTGTCTTCATCCTTCTCTACCACATACTGTACTTCTTCCATATAAATTTTGAACTACATGAAAGAAATTGAAAGACATACATAGGAATTTGTTGCCTAGAGAGAGCAATATTTTTTGGATGTATACATTGAAAACAAATTCAATCATATATATACTGTACTGTATATATAGTTTTTAATAATACTTTCACTCTTTAAATCTGTTATCTTCAAGTAATATATTGTACAAGCCACCACAAATATTAATGTCTTCAATATACAAAATCTATTAACCAAATTTATACCTTATTGGATATCAGAAATTATAATACCTCTTATCCACTACAGCATCATAGGCAGAGTCTACTTCAGGTGCTGCGGTCTCCAATATGCGTATCAACTTACATATAAAACAAGATACTGTACTGTGCTGTATATAGAAAACTGAGAACAGGATTTATTCTGTTTACCATAATATAACTAATCCAAGATAACGTTTCACTGTAATTTCAATGAGCCAAAATGTGTGAAAATGGCTAAAATAATACAAGCTAACACCAGAAAATATTACATTCATCAAACATATCATAAAGAGAAAAAGAAAACAATTATGCCATGGACTTAGGTTCTTCTTCACGCAACAGAACCTGCAACAAAACACATTACAGTACAACCCTTGACATGCACTTCAGAGGTCACAGTTACTATGTACTTTACTCTCCAATTAATTCCTTAGTCAATTTCTAGGAGGCGGGCTGCCCTGAACTGTGGACCCCAGGGGCCTGAGGGATCATCCAGGGGGTTTTGGTCATCTGATCCTTCTTCATCAGCAAAATGGGCATGAACATGCTCTTCAAATCTGTGGAATATATAAATAGAGAACTTTTGAGTTACGTTACCCGGCTTCCACCAGGTGGAGGGAGCACGGCCAACCCCTCAGCCACCCACACTTCCCTACCACCAACTTCCAGCTCTCTATCTTTACAACTGTGGAAATAAATCAGACCCACAGACAGGGACAGAGTCAGCTCTCCCACCCCTTGTGGAGGGACAAGAGATACTGGATGACCATCCCCTAGGCCAACCACACCTCTCTACCAACTTTCAACTCTCTATTTTCAAACTTGTGAATATGCATAAGGAACAAACAGATACCCTCAGAATATATTGTATAAAGATAGATGCAAGCTGCTAAACTCTCTCTGGAAATAACACACACATACACACACAGTCTCACTTGATACAGTTGAGACTCTGTCAATCAAATATAGAATTAACCCTAATCCAGTATATCAAAATTACCTCATAATTCTGTAATAAAATAATATTGTACAATATAGATAAACTAATATACCTATCTGTGAGGCAGGCACAGGGATCCCTTGTTATCCATGAAGGACACGTTCCAGAAACCACCGTGAATAATAAATTTGCAAGTACTGTACTGTACCATTTTTGGTCTCCATAAATCAACCATTTGTATGACCTACCTTCAGCACATGATTATCTAGGTAATGTAACACATGATAATCATCATAATATAAAAGAATTTATCAAACAATTAAAAGTAGCAATAGGACATAATACTGCAGAGTAGGAAATAAAAGTTTGGTTGTAAACGAATTTACCTATAAATTATGATGGTGGTGCAAAATGGGCATGAACATGAACCTGTGGAATATATGAAAATGTAAACCACTTATATCTCTGCTGATATTATAAACTGTATGTTACAGTACTGTAGCCTGTAAAATACCCGTGAAAATGTTCTGGTTGACGCTCTTCATGTTGTGTAAACGTTAGACTATTCATTTTTCGTAAGTTAGATGCAATTACCTGATGGCAGTTCATTGTGCTGTATGGTCTCTTGCAGCCTCTTTGTCACGTTCTTAACTCTAATGTCATTTTTGGCTCGCCATTGACTCTTCTACACATTTAGACACTTACGTCACTTAACACAATTGGTCTCTTCCAGTCTCTCCACTTGCCCCAAATCATCTCATCTTACCTCTACATGAAGCCTCACCAATGCTCTCAATAACCAGCCACCAACTGAGATTTGAACAGACTTTACCATCGTTTAGTGACACATTATACATCCACATCACAAGTCTCAATTCAGCTCACTAAAGCCATTTGTCATCCTCCTTAACAGCCCATGTTTCACTGACATACATACATAAATAATAATGGTTGCCCCTTGTGTAATGAGGATGGCCGGCCCTAGGACCACCTAGGCGTGAATTTTTTTAAGGTGTAGAAGCTGTCGTCAACACAACAACCACACCCTGAGTTAACAAGTTGCTTGACCCAGTGTCAAGGTATAATCCGAGAAGACCGGACAATTCGCCAACTGCACTAGCTAACCATTACCCTTGAATACGATCTGTAAATCGATTAACATCCAGGTTCCCAATTACTGCCGGGTAGACAGAGGCAAATGGCATAAAGAAACTTGCCCATAATTTCACCCTGCCCGAGGATCGAACCCGGGTCCACTCGCTTGTGAGGCGAATTTGCTGACCATTACACCACAGGTCGCCACATGGCAGGCATGAAGGCATACATACATACATAAATACATACATACATACATATGTACATAAAGGGAAGGACCTCTTTGCCATCCATAAAGGCAGCAAATCCTTAAACTTCCTGTGATCCTGACAGATGAACTAGCTTTAGCACAATCTCCAGCACCAGGATCAAAAGAAGGATGCTCAAAACAAACCCTTGATCAACCTTTACTTTCACATCAAATTCCTCACTTTTCTTGACATTTACTTCACAGCAGCAGTTCTTGGGCCATAATATAATGCCATTATCACTCATACAACACAATCCTCCACCTCCAACTTTCTCATGGCCAACTTTAACTTCACATGGTACCCTGTCAAAATGACCTCTGTAAGTCTACATAGTACTTTCTCTACTTTCCTAAATAATATATTTTGTAGTGGCCTCAGTGACCTGTAGTGTAATGGTCAGGATATTCACATCACAAAAGGTTTTCATTATGCCATTTGCCTCTGTCCACTCGGCAGTAATTAGGGACCTGGATGTTAATCAACTGGTGGATCGTGTTTTGGGGTAATGGTCAAACAGTCAACAGTCCAACATAGTACTGTACTCTACTGTATTTTCTCCAAGCATCCTTGATATCCTCATTTTCAACAACCACATTACCACAGTCACTTTTTATATACTGTACGTCCGGATAATTCGCGGATTTTAATTTCGCGGTCCTCAATTATTCATGAATGACACCCTGGACGTACCCAAGAATGTCTGCGGGTAGTATTAAAGTTGCCGGCATTTTTGCGGCCGGGACAGGGAGCCATTCGTTCTACAGACAGTAATTTCCTTTACCTGTATTGTATATATGTGTGGATGTGTAGACACTAAACACAAAACACATACAAATAAATAATAATGGGAAAATCCTCTTACAAATAATCGGAAACAAATGTAGTATTAAAAATGTTGAGTCTATCCTCAAGTCTACTCCATGCTTTGTTATTAATAAAGCATGGAGTAGACTTGAGGATAGACTCAACATTTGTATGTGTTTTGTGTGGTGTCTACACATATATACAATACAGATAAAAGAAATAATTGTCCTAAGGGAAAACACATAACGGGAATATACATTTCTTGGTACACAAGTAAAAATGTACCCCGATCAGCAAATGTTATTCGTGGATTTGGCGACCCACGGCCATTTTGAGAACCTAGCCCCTGCAAATTTGAAAGGCATGCTGTACTGCTCTAACTGCCAACACCACAAGTCACTTCAATAATACACATTCAACACTTTAGTGAATGCTTACATGATATATTCCACTTGCACTTCTTATCATTCATTATAATTAAAAACATTAATAGAGGACATTTTCTCTAACGATTAAAACAGGTACAATATCTTTAACCCTTAAACGGCGGAACATCAGTGAACGCTTCTTGTTCCTTGAGTTCCATTTTTGTGGCAGAGTAATAAGTCCATGCCTCCCAGTTAAGAGTTACAATACAGAACATAAGAGTACAAGCTATGAAGCAATACAAACCGTTTTTGGTTGTTTCGTTGGAAAGCCATGGAGCACACTGGACACACGTGCTCAAGATGAGAATTGATGTGTTCCTCCAGAAGGGTTATGGCGCCCGGTTGAAATGAGAGGTTACACAGTGGACAGTCATACAACGTGCTGTGTGAAGAATGTCATATAATAAAATAGAGAATTCGGTTAAAATAAAATTATATATTGTACCGATAAAATATTTTTCTTACACATGTAATTAATCAATCTTTATTGGCATTAAAAATAATTCATACCCTATCAAAACAAATTTAATACATTTTATTGTTTAAAAACCTAAAAGGCAGTAGTCCACTTTTTGATCAGTTGATGGTAAGCCCAAAAAAGCTGATTAATACTCTACCTTTGTTGTTCCTGTGGAGTGTTAAGGATTACTGCATCATCATTGTCACTGGTGCTATGGAAATCATCATCATCTGACTCATGTCCTTGGCTACCAGGCATAGGCTGACTAGAAAACTGGCTCATTACAGCTGCCTGAATGGCTGTTGGGGTGGTTTCTGGTTGTAGTGGAGGAGGGAGAACAGCACCAGCCATTGACTGATTGGTTGGCATATGTGCCTGTGATACAACGAGTGAGGCACCATTGGAAGGGGTACTCCCGATCATTGCAGGGGCAGTGGCCCCATTCACCTGGCCACAAGGCAGGTAAAGATACATGGAGGGGGTTGGAGATGGTGCTGATGCCCTAACATTTGCAGCATTAGCTTCCTGGTTTATGACAGGTACTTGCCTTTCATTTTCAGGAAGAAAGACTGGTGCAGTGCGCGGAGCTGGCAAAAAGCTATTGCTATATAGAACCTGCTGCTCATCAGGGCTTCCCTGAGCCACTGAAGCTGCCTCTTCTTCTTGAGCTACAGCAGGTTCGTCATCCTGCCGTTGTTCCTGTTCCTCTTCTCGCACTGGTTGTTCCTCCCCTTGTTGCTGTTGTTCTTCCTGAACTTCTTTTGGTTCAGGCTCTGGCTCAGGTGTTCGTTCCAATGATTGTCTGGGCTCAAGAGCAGCACATTCGGCAAGAGGACTCTGCTCTTCTTGACGTGCCTGCAACTGCATCTTGAGCGAATTAATTTGTTGAGAGAGTTCTCGAACTATGTCTTCCATTTTGCGGTGAACTGCATCGCTCAGCTGCTGTGTCGTGTGAGAGCAACTGGAGCAAGTTGTTCCAGTCATTGCTGATGAACATGACTGTATCATGGATGCAGGTACTTCCATCCCATCCCCACCAGCTGCAGCTTCCAGGTCTTCAGCATCTTCCTCCATCCCCTCAACCTGGAGCCATGCACTCGCCTGCGAGGTTACTGAAGATGTCATCTGGGGATAAATAAATATAATAAATATAATCTCTTATTCTACTAGATAGAGTGAAGTTTAAATATTTTTTAATTTGTATTCTATTCTTATATATTTTTCCCAACAGAAACCATCTGGATAATGAGGCTGGGTTCATGATTTACAGTAGTCAGTCATAAAGGAGATTCTTAAATGGAAAAATTTAGTTTGGTTCAACAGCAGTCAATATTCCCATTCTCTTTAACATTATATTCTTACCTGACATCTTTAATGTATTACAAGAACAATACCTAAACTAACCTGACTTACCAGCTACACCACCTTGGTGTTTTTAGGCACTGGAAGTAAATTTAATTCACAAGCTTCTTTCCAACTGAACGACAATATTTTGAGTGAGAGACTGCTCAAGGTATCTGCCCTCACCCTCAGTACAACACACACCATTTATTATTTTATACAAGGTCCTTACATTATTTATTCACTTGTTTTTTTAGAACATTAAAGCCATACATAGCAACAACATACAGGCAGCTGCATAACAAACTAACTATGTAATAACAGCAAAGACACTTACATCAGCTTCCACCTGAGAATTTATAGACTGACGAAGCTTCTTAATTTTCTTTGCCAGGCGTAGATTGGTGAGGGCCAAAGTGTGATATTCGGCTTTGGCCGTCTGCAAGCGACTACTCAGATCACCTGCGATTCTTTCTGCAGCCTCTCGTCCACTCTGGTTACTCTCCTGAAAAAAGAAAAAATCAGTAATTGGGGAAGGACTGACCGTTTCTTGCCCGCAGGACTAAATGAGTGACCCCATAAGTAACAAGTATAACAGTAAGTAACACAAACAAAAAGACTTAAACAGTACTGTACTTTGAGGTGGTTATTCCCCAAAGGAAGAGGGAAAAGGAAGGTACAGTACTTCTATTTCTAAATTGCCAACTAAATAATACAAATAATACCTGAACACTTTCCAGCTGTTCCATCTTTTCCTTGAGCTGACAGATGGTGGCTTTAAGCTGATGGTTATCCTGGTTAACAACTCCCTCTCGCTCCTCATGAATGCTCTTCTGTTCTTCAGCAGCAGAAAGTTTCATCTCAAAGTCTTTCAACTTTTCCTTTGTTGATGTCTAGAAACAAAACAGCACAACTGTTAACAAAATGACAAGTGAACTCATTCTTGTATTTATTCTACCCAACAATAAACTGTCTCTGCTTATTTCATTTTGTAACAACTCGTAAAATCTTGATGTGACTTCATGAACAGATTACTCCAGGTTTCTCAATTAACAAACCTTGAGTTTAAGTGGCTGACTACCAGTTGTGTAGTGTACAGTGTAGTGTAGTGTAGTGTAGTGTACCATATAATATAGTATAGTGTAGTGGAGCGTAGTGTAGTGTACTGCCAAACACAAGAAACATGACAACACAAGTCTACTGAGGTTAACATCACAACATTGCACAAACTAATAAGATTAAAATGAGACAAATTAATACAAATCTGTTGATTTACCATTTGGAAAACTGAGTTAGCCAACCTCTCTTCCAGCTCCTGAGATATCTTCTTATTCTGGTCAAGCTCCCCAATCTTATTTATCAGTTCTTCATTCACCTTAAAGAGAAAAAAATAGACACCAAATATTAAAGAATCAGTACTTTAAGACTGTTTCTGGCTTAAACAATGTAGGCCATGACTTCCAGCAGCAAGTACTGTACTGATCATCACATAACCTCTTGCCTCATGTTATACCTTAATCAACCATACAGTAGTTTATGCTCTCACACATCCAACCTTCCATCTCTTAGTCCAGATATCCTTGTCTTAATTGTCCTGCTCTCTATACACATGAACTACCCACTTTGAAGGAGAACAAAGTTAAGACAAATTATTATAATACATCAAATATTCAAATCAACTTACCATTGAATACTTATGAGCCAGAGAATTCATCTCACTCTTGTCTGTTGCAGCAGAAGACGTCCAGAACTCCAGCTCCTTCACTGCGTCGTCCCTCTCTGTTCCGGTCTGTTCCAGCTTTAGCCTCACAGCCTTCACAACAAAATAAACAGGATATTGTACAATGTTAAACTGCAGTATTTAACATTACAAAATACTAGTTACAATATTCTTGACATTAATTTAAACAAAATCACTCTGAGAGAATACAGTACCATGCTACAGCAACTCTGATGCTGGTCAGTGTTAAGTTGGACGCATCTCTCATCAACTTCAATAATTACTGTACATAATCACATATAAGAGGCAGTAGACCATAAGAAGAAAAACTATAGAAAATAACTTGTAAGTTCCAATTTACAGCTACAAGTAGGAGGCCAGTACTGTACACTATTATATGCAATAGAGAAGAACAAATATTTGGTTTCAAAAGAAAACTATCCTCAAAATGTTTGTTAAAATGGTATTATTTCAGTCAAAATATATTATTTATATAGTAATTAGATATAGTAATTTGACTATTCATATTAAAGTGATCAAATATTTATCAACTTATAAACAACGAGTTCTGTATTTGAAGAAAAAAGATTTAAAACAAGAGAGTATTTACTATGGTAATGTAATGGAACATTATTAAAACAATATCTATGTTAATTAGACAGTACAGTACTATACCTATTGTCATAATAAAAGAAAATATAGTATATTATAAAATAAAAATATTAGACATTTGTACTACAGGAAAAAGATCTTTATGTCAAAAGCTCAACCACCACGGCCAGGCTGGGACTGACAGTATGGGGGTACTGAAATGTCCTGGGTCATCTTTTATCTAAAATAAATTTCCAATATGATAGCTTGGTAGTCTCTTATAATGATCCACAGAACATATGTGGTAGACTTTGAGAGACATGACCAACCAGAGAGGGAGCCAGCCACCACCCAGAGGAGTGTCTCATCATGAAGCACCACCCAGGTACAGCCACTACTACAAGGACTGTGTGGAGAAAGATCCTACCCTATGTCTGAAAACTAAGTGTAGGGAACTTATGGCTTCAAAAGCTTCATGATTAGCACTAGATAAGCAGACATGTGTGCTGACAGATACAGACTAGGAATAAATGTGATCCAAGTTTATGTTTGTATGGTTTGGGTCATGTGCTGTGGCAAGTGATTTGTACCCGTGACCATTTGACTCACAAACATTTCAAAGCAACAGCTAGATAATTGCTGAAGCATTGTCCTTTATGACCACTGACTTACCTGGTACACATGTATATTATAAGGTAACAAATATCTCATCTATGAAAGACAGCTTTTTCTGCTTTAGAATGCAGATAAAAATTCAGTCAAGGCAAGCTATACCAGGGCAGTTTGAAGCAGTCACCTCCCAAATCCTTCAACAAATGACTTGAAGGTCATAAAAAGTACAAAATTAATTATAAAACAAACCTGAAGTTCATCTCGATGCTCTGACAAATCTTCCCGGCACTTTTTAAGGACAAGATCCTGATCCTGTCGATGCTTGCGAATCTCTAGCAGATCCTCTTTCAATTTATTCTTTTCTTCGGTCACCTGCAGAAAAGAATTAAGCATGGTAGGAATTAACATAATGTAGAGTACAACAAATTCTTCCCTCAGATGTTAACAAATTTAAGAATCCTTTATTACAGTACTTGTGTTTATTGTGACCAACACTAAACAGCTTCCTTGACAACACATCAACCCAAACCCACAAACTTGACCCCATTCTCTCATAATACATTTCAATTTAAAAATACTTTGAAATATACTGAATTATAAAATTATAGCCACTTGTATTGTCCTTCTTTCACACAGAACTCTTCAACAGTTTATAAAGTTGTGAATTTACACTCAAGGCTGAATCTTTTTGAGTGCTGTAGGATCATAGAGTATTAGGGTCTTATGTGAATACATGAAGAATCATTTAAATCACTACAGAATAATTTGGTATACTAAAGAGTTATCTAGATCATTGTAGGATCATTGCTGGGACATTTGGTTTGCTGAAGGATCATATCAATTGCTCTTGTTACCTGGATAGCTATCGAGTTACTTGGATCAGTACAGTTATCTGGATCGCTGTATCACCAGGCAATTTGGATCATTACAAAATTATCATGATCACCACAGGGTTAGCTGGATCGGGATTACTTAAGATCATCTGGTACTCTACACGGTCAACTGAAAGTGAACTTGAGGCATATCATCTCGTCAAGTAAAATCATCCCTCAAAATGTTATTACAATTGGTATTAACAATTTCTGATATACTGTATGTTCTTGACAACCTTTGATCTGCCTGTGCATCTGACCTTTGACAAACAACACCCAAATATAATGCAGTCATAAGTACATATTAAAGCACCTGTAAATTAAATCTTATCTGGGTGTCACCATTAGCTAGTACAGTACAAGATATGTTTCCTTTAACCTTCCTGTGATCAAGACCTGTGACATAACAATAAGGTTTTAGGCTGAAATCTGTGTATCTTCACATGAAATTTGCCTCACTGTGACTAGTTCCCCTTTGGAAGAGATGATTCAACTCCGGTCAACTAAAATATTATCACCATTGAATGCAACAATTGACTAAATGCAACAGCTGTCAAAAATATGTTCCTCTTACTTCAGTCATTTCCCATTTTTTCTGAATCATGTGGAGCCGAAATGTCCCGAGGATAACACTGTAGTCATAACTGGGAGCCGTGAGGTGCGTGGACAAGGAGAAATAAATACATAACAGTATTGTTTTTCTCTGCACTTTCACCACACATTAGGTACAGTGTAATATGTTCTCTATATGTTTATTGAAGACATTTCTGCTCCAGAGAACAAAAACTTTTGGCAAGATTTTATATAAGAGGCAGAGTCCTTCTACTTGTGATGGGCATCCCTTTATCTGTGACACTTTCTCCCATAAACCCACTACCCCAACCCCTTAACTACCATCGACTCAGTAGTTACTATAATGCAATGTTCTTCAAAAATGAAACTACCATGTTATAAGAGAACTGACTATTACTATTAATATTACCAGAGTTGGGGCTGACAAGTTTCAGTCCCTGCTCATGGTTTAAGTGTCAGTACTTACAGCTTGAAGCTGACCTTCCAGTTCTGTCATCTGAGCAGTGGAAGTAGTCAGGGAACGTTCCAGTGTTTTGAGGCGGTCTTCCAGATGACCTTTTTCTTCCACCACCTGACCAATTCTTCCCATCAATTCACACTTCTCACTTGACTCTTTCTTCATCTTGGTCTCCAGGGCCTGTGAGTTAATACAAGGATTTTTCAGATAAATTCTAAGCGAGTATTAAAATGTAATTATTTTTGGGGGGTAACAATGTGACCATCACTTAACCTCAAGAATCATGAAAGATTAGAGACTATTAATAAGCTCTCTGTCTCTCTCTCCACTCACACATGCACACCACAGCCATATACCTGGTAAAAAACACACACACGCATGCACGTACACACATACCTGGTAATAACACACCCACGCACACGCACACACACTCACAAAGGTAAGCTAATTAATGATATAATCTCCAAGAATATGATCAGCCATTTTCACAAGTATACTTATATAGGACAAAGATGTTTTCAAAAGTACAGTAAAGTATGACAAGTACAAATGTCATATTGCAGATGGGATATTGTTCAAGGCAGAGGAACTGTGCAGATAGGGGAGGGGAAGGAATACTTATATAACGAGAGGTAAACGAAAGTGGACATTCAGTAGCTAAGTGTGGGTTAAACTGTGAGAGAGACAAGAGAGATGTGTTTAAGGGGAGTGTTTGGAGTATCTCAGTGTATACCAACTCCAGCGGGAGGATGTAATAATGCCCAAGGAACACGTCGTCATAGGAGGATCACACATTAGACAAGAGAACACCACTGTACTTACTACAGGTTGTAAAGATAAAAAACTTGTACAGGTATTTCAGTTAATTCTTTATTAACTTCTTTATTTAGCACAGGTTTTCTTAATTAATATCTAAAAAATAATGAAATAATTAACAGATATGGACTTGGATTACCTTCAGGGATTTATGGCACAGGTGAAAAACTTCAAAATTCTGTTAAGATTTTAATAAAGGTAATGCACTGACTGACACACAGGAGAAACTGTCTCACCTGCAAGTGGTGTTGACACATACTGAGTTGCTGCAGCTTGTCCTCCAGCTCTCTCTGTTTCTCCTCCACTAACTGCTGCTGTGTGCTCATATCTCCCTGCAGTTGTTCATTCTCCTTTGACAACTGCAAACAAAAAATGAGGCCACCATAAGTACAAGGACATAAACAAACAGTAAAACCTCCAAGTAACGGACATCAATCTAGTGTGTAAACTGTAGTTTGTTATAAGGGGGTTACAAGTATAATGAACCTTGATATAACACTCTCCCATATAGTCTATAAGGAAGTTTCACATATAATGGACTACTCTCTCCCATACAGTTCATTAAATAGAGGTGTCACTATATAAACCTTCTAAAACACTTCATTAAATAGCCTTACAACAAGTCCATTAACATACAAGCTAATCTTCCTTTCCATTATTCTTGTAACATAACCATCCCTCTCTGCTACATCCTCAGGCAAACAATACCTTTCATACATAATTTTCAATATATTTAATTGCCTGTTTCACTCACTCCTAGTACAGTATACTGTATGTCAATCATTATTTCTAAAAAGGCCTACCAATTTCATCACCTTAAGTTTCTCCTTTACATTTCCAATACAATAGAGTACAGTACAGTACAGTACAGAACAGTACAGTACAGTACAGTACAATACAGTACAGTACAGAACAGTACAGTACAGTACAATACAGTACAATACAGTACAGTACAGTACAGTACTCTTTTTCTCCAAGTTACAACATTTGCTGAGTTTTCAGAGAGCAGCCAAAGGGACTCCACACACCTCTCAGGATTCCTTACATTGTGGATACAATTTTCAAGGATGGGGTCACCAGCTACAACCTCTAAGAAAGTAACTCAAGGTGTTATAAACCATTTTCTGAGGTTAGTTAGATGGATGGAACAAGATATACACTGTAGTGTATATACATAAAAGAACACAAGGTTCATTGTGCATGGAGATAAGACAAGTAATAACATACCTTGTTAACTTTGTCATGAAGGATGCTTTCATTAGTGCATACCATCACCATGCCATCCTCCCCATCATCCACCCCACACACAATATTCACTCCTACGGACCCCATCTGCTGTAGCTGAAATGGGGTGGACACACCCACGATGTGGCTTTCATGTGTCACATAGCAGAACTGGAAGAACTCCCCTGCATCCTTGGGCAAGGAACTTGCTGTTGAGAAGAATGAAACACTGATGGGATACTCATCAAACTTATAACAAACAATTACTGTATTAACAATAATAATAAGAAACAAATAGTAGACCACAGAGTAAGTTACAAGGATGACTAAATAATACTTAAGAGAAAAACAAGCAGAGATAACATTTATAAACCTATTATATTTAAAAGCTATATTATAAAAAAGAAGAACAAGAGGAGAAGCAGAAGACCAATAAGAAGAGGTAATGCAACAAATAGATTAACTTAAAGGAATGAACATAAGTGATACACATACCTTTGAAGACAACAGTAAGAGGCAGATGGTTCTGGGTGTGGTCCTTACTGGGGGTCGGAGCCCAGCGGTAACACAAATAGTCTTGGGGAGATGCAAACCCAACACGATAGAGAGCAACCCGGTCTGTTGACTTGGCTGTCACACTGGGAGTCAACACATAGGAAACAGCAATGTCAGAATCAGCTGTGTAAGTTGCTTGGATGCTCTGGAAGAGGACCTGCAACACATACAAACAATGATTACACTTGGAAATCAATTGAGTGATCAAGGTCAGAGTCAAGTAATGTGAGATTTCTACAGAACATCTACTGGGAGAGACAGACTTGCTCTGTAGACTGTCTGCATGCTGCAGCAGAAACACCGAGGTCTGTTTTGTCCATATTCACTGTAGAAGACAACTCCATAAAGTGGATACCAGAGTTCTGTATTACTGTCAGGAGAGAGAGATTAACAAACTATTCAAATTCTATACTGTATAAGCAAAGTTTTGAGTTGAGTTTCAGCATCCCTGTGGTATACTGTACTGTGGCACCAACTAATGCAACATTTGGACAGAAGTAACAACATAAAAGTATCATTTTATCTATAAATATCTACTGAAATATAAGACAATAACTTTAAACACTTTTATAAAAGCAAACCCCACAAGTCTCTGTAAGTAAGCAGTCCCCAGGTTAGGTACGTGTTACGTCTCTACGAACGTTCTTAAGCTGAACCACACACCCCATGTGCAATTGTGCATACCGTACTTACAGGACAATGATTCAAATGCCAATATATCATAGCCTAAGTCCTTGTATACATCTAATATCATTTAATTTAAGAGAAAAGAAGAAATAGAATGACAATACAGAAAATGAAAGAAAAAATAAGTCATCAGGTAAATAAAATTTTGGAAATTTAAAGTTTAACTTTATGTGACCTTGATCATATTGGCAGATATTCATAAGTCTGACATACATAACCCAGAGACCTCCTGTAGTGAACAAAACATAGAGGATATAAACATATCTTTATGTTAGGAGTTAGCACGTTGAGTGTGGAAGAGGAGATCAGTGGAGTGTGAGGTCTCCCTTGTACAGTTCAGTGAAATGATTGACAAATATTTCGTCGTCCAGCAGCCAAATGTCAATAGTGTACAGTATTTTTTCTTTTATATTCTTTACAGTATTAGTATTACTCTTCATATTTACTGGTATATTTATGTTTATCCTATTCCTCATACAAGTTGGTAACTGGCAGAAATTCAGTTTCAGATTTGGTATCACTGTTCATAGCATCAGCTGTTGTGGCGGTGATTATGGCCAAGACTTGTTGGTGAGAGTCTAGTGTCTTGCTACAAAATATCTCTAGGAATATACCTGGTACTGTACTGTACTGTATTTCTCAAAAGATGGGGTCAAATTATACACGAGGTATATGAAAAACTTGGCTGTGTTTACCCCAAAAATCATGAGTTGAACTACACAAGAGACCGGTTTATACACGAGTATATGAGGTAATGTAATTCCATAATCTAGGTTAATACACCTTGAGCAAAGTAAATTAAAGGAATTATAAGGACATTAGGGACACAAACCCAACAACATAATATACAGTAATAGGTTCACCTTTCCAAAGGAAGTCTCTGCTGCAAGTGATGGCTGAAGATCTTCACTCCTTAGTCCTTCACTAGCCATGCTTCTGGTTTCAGTAAGAGGTGAATCTTCCTGTCCAGCCTGTCAAAAAAAAAATATATATATATTTTAACAACAATGTGAGTAATAAGTGGATGACTATTTCTAAAATCCTATTTTAAAACTAACTCAGGATCCTGTAATTCATTGTAAATTAAAGAAGACAACAGCCATCATCAGTGGACATTTTATGTTCCCTGTAGTATTCCATTTTTGCCCATGTGGGTGATCCTCATCTGCCAGCAGCTAAGGTTAATACTTCCTTCAAATTTGCAGGATGAGCCAGAACACCGTACCAGCCAGACTAATCCACACACAGTTTGGAAAATGGCCGTAAAACAGTGACGATATGTACTGCCACTCTCGACCAATCATGGCGTCATCCTCGAGTTTGAGGGTTGGTCACCATAACCATCTTGATTAGTTGTGACGTGTAAACACCGGGTGTGAATAACATTTTCCGAGGACACCCCAGAAGGACAGAACAGGACTGTATATAACTTACAAAACTCTCAGGTATGATGCTGAAGTCAGAGGCGATGCTCATTTCATCAAAGTCACGTCTTGGGCTTTCCTCATTATTCATTGGGTCGTCCTGCAAGAGAAAGGGATACACTGTACACAGTAGCATAACTCACATTACAGTGTAACAATACATACCCAAGAGCCAAAATTTATCTCGGTTATATCAGACGTGTCTCCAATATAAACACCAGCTGCATAAGATATGATAATACAATATAGAAGTTTCCATGATTAAAGAGAGACTGTAAAATTCACTTCATTCTGTGTATAATATACCTGAATGGTTGACAAATGGATCACCAGATGTATTTTAATGCTACAATTACTACTTTTGTGGCTGTCTTTCTTTTTCTTGTAGTGAGTTCCTCCTACGCTGGTGTAACCCGGCAAAGCGTAGTTGACTTTTTAAATATTTGAAATATCCTTAATTACTTAAATATCCTTAATTATTTCAAAGGTCAATAATTAACACTAATTACAAAATTTTTTTTAGTGAACCCAGCTCCTTAATCATCATATAAAGTACAGTAGTACTGTACCTTTGTGTGAAATTTGAACAAAAGCCACGGTATGACCCCAAGTGCTGAAACACAAGGTAAGGAGGTCAACCGTATTTTTGACGTCAAACGATATTTTGGGGAAGGCGAAAACTAACGTGTTTATATAATAAAGATTGTCTATATTTGAAAGAAATAGTATATAAAGGTAATTTAAATCTTACAGCCACAGCGCATAGTAACCAATTTCAACGTGCAAGTGTGCGGATGAAGCATTGATCTGGAGATATCATGAGGCTTCACTTCCAAAGAACTCTTCTACTGGCATTATTCCTCTGAGAGAGACAGAGAGCACTCTCCTAAGTGGATGTACAGTACAGGTACACACAATTTTGCTAAGTCAATGATATACTGTTACAGTCCTGTGAGAAATTGTTAGAAAGATAACTAGAAACATATGACTTACCTTGGTGAAACATTCCTGCACACACACAGTATTACTTCACAAATGGTTGATGCATGCATGTGTATTAACTCACAAGCTGTTCTAGTGTAAACTGATACACCAACTCTACCATACTTTATACAAAACAAAGGATGGCCTATAGTATATACGGGTGTTTGTCGTGCAGGTCTACTTATCATCTCATTTGTTCGAGTAATAATTAAGGTCAAGTCTATCCGAGTAATCCTGTTATCAGCTTAAAATTACAACATGATTCAGACATGTTTACTTCATGGCACTCCACAGGTAGACTCTAAAGAGATTGGTTTTGTAGTTACTATGGGTGTAGGTACAGTACAGCATCACAACCACTGTAGTTACTATGGGTGTAGGTACAGTACAGCATCACAACCACTGTAGTTACTATGGGTGTAGGTACAGTACAGCATCACAACCACTGTAGTTACTATGGGTGTAGGTACAGTACAGCATCACAACCACTGTAGTTACTATGGGTGTAGGTACAGTACAGCATCACAACCACTGTAGTTACTATGGGTGTAGGTACAGTACAGCATCACACCAAGTTACTATGGGTGTAGTGCAGCACAGCATTACTATAGGTGTAGGGTACAGCCACTGTAGTTACTAGTACAGTACAGCATCACAACCACTGTAGTTACTATGGGGGTAGGCAGTACAGCATCACAACCACTGTGTTACTAGGTGTGGTACAGTACAGCATCACACCACTGTGGTACAGTACAGCATCACACTGTACTGTAGTTACTAGGTACAGTACAGCATCACAACCACTGTAGTTACTATGGGTGTAGGTACAGTACAGCATCACAACCACTGTAGTTACTATGGGTGTAGGTACAGTACAGCATCACACTGTACTGTAGTTACTATGGGTGTAGGTACAGTACAGCATCACAACCACTGTAGTTACTATGGGTGTAGGTACAGTACAGCATCACAACCACTGTAGTTACTATGGGTGTAGGTACAGTACAGCATCACAACCACTGTACTGTATTTATCATGATCAAGTAATAAACAAGACATGACCAGACCTCTCTCAGATGGTGTACTCCAACACACACACACACATTGCTTATGCTAACTTCATTCTCTCTCCCAATTATTAACTGTGGCCGAGTACCAACTAGGACTGCTACACTCGTATTATAGTTCAGTTCAAGATGTTTTATATTAATAATATATTCAAGGTACACAATATGTAGCAATGAAACCAATTAAAGAAAATCAATACTTCATGTGGGGAACAAGATCAAGTATAATGGCTTACAGTTCAGTACAACACAAGTGGATCAACCTAGTGTACTGCTCCTCACCACAACAAGCAGACCAACCTCCTATTGCCAAGTGACCCGGAAACTTTTCTCTCTATCGATGGACCTCGCGGGCATCAATAGAATATGGAACAGTTTTCATGACTCGGTATATAAAAATCTCCTTGGAAATATAAACCAACTTGTAAAATAAAAACTCTATTGGAAATTAAAACTTATTTCAAAATGAAAACCTATTGGAAATTTTCCCAACACAATATAATAAAATGATACGAAAGGCCTATTTAAGGTTTCGTTTTTAAGGAAATCTAAATTTAATGCTTTACAGTACAAGACTTTTCTGGTTTCAAACATGTACCACCATCACTTGTACATCTTTTCAAAATCATTTTTAACTTTAGAGTTCATTAATTTCTTTCTAAAAAGCAAAATATCTGCAAGAATGAACAGAATCCATATACAACTCATTGTAATAGAGCCTCGTTCAACCCAACATGTGAAGATACGGAGGTTGTTGACAAACATTATATGTAACGGCATAAACTGTACAGTATGAAATGCAAGGACAACAAAATAATGACTAAGTGGCTACAAAACCAAGCGAGGGCACGCTGATGAATCCACACCGACTCAGTGTGTTGGTGTCTCTTGACCCCGGCTCTTGGATTAAAACTTATGTATTTTATTCAAGACTGTCCAGTGTTTTACCCTTATTCAAGATGAGTGGGAAGAAGCTATCAAGTGCAAGCAGTGGTGCTAGGAGAGCCTATTGGATATAAAACTCACCTCCCACACCACTCAACATTTGTGGTGAGTTAATTAAGTTTTTTGTGTATAGATTACTTTTATTTATTCCTCACATTTTTTGGTGCAGTTGGGCAGTCCCTGAGCTAACTCACATTGGAGGAGGCAGACTGGCGAGTCATCTACACAGTTACAGCTCACTGCCTCCACGCATGTTCAGTTCCCACACATACAAACCCATGCACTTAATTTTTCTTATTTTATATTTTTATTATATATTGTATTTTCTTTATTTCTGAGCCACATTGTAATGATATTATTTTTTATTTTTTTAAATGACCTCGGATGTGTGATAAACATGCTGAGCTAGCAGGAGATGGTGGTTCATGAGACCCAAACACCAGTATAAGTGGTGTCACCATGGATACATGTACTGTACTCTGAGACCCTACTGTATTTATCATCATATTAATATCATAAAATAATCAATATGTGTTAAAAAAAATTTATTTTCCTTCATAAAAGTAATATATTTGTATTACTTATTTTTGCCCTAAAACTTTCCTTATGAACACATCTCCAGGATATAATGAAGTCATTGGGAAACTGGGGTTCATGTTAGGGAATTTCACATTACGGTAAACTGTTCAAGGATGCAGCCCATCTGGGGGATTATTGTACTTTACTGTACCTGTATTGGACGTCACCAAAATTACTTATAAAAACACCGTGACAACACCAAATGCCTGTGTCAGCAGCACCTGTGCATCTTCCAATTATGTAAACAAATCATAATTACAATGTTTTTGTTCATATAATAATGCACAATGTAAAAAAAAAAAACTAATTCAAACTCATAAATGAAGTGTTCATACACTGGGGTCTGCCTGTTGTGTAGGTACCATACTTACACATACAGGATCACATCAGCATGTAGTAAACCATTCTACTGTACTGTACTTATTTTGTTAATGATGAAATATCTGACATTAGTAGTGCATCAGTGGAAGCATCTAGTAATACAGTGCTAAACATGACCTTCAATATCCTGAGGTAGAAATAGTCAAAGTGTCTTCAAGTATCCAATCAGGTGGTGAATCAGTGGAGGCAAAAATTAATGACCCATGACTTGAAATAACCGGTGACATTACAAATCATTTTTCAGTACTGTACTGTATACACAAACAATGCCAAAAATCATGTTACATCTCCAAAGTTCGAGATTTCAGTGAATTATTCTAAGAGTTTTAAGATAGTGCACATAATTTTGGACATGTGTATAATCATCACTGGGCAGCAAACATACCAACTGCTTCTAAGACTAATCATGCAGTGGCTCTATAAATGTTATTTGCTACAGTAAGAACAAAGCAAATTACATGCTCTTTGCTAGCTTAGAAAATGCTAATAATGGACGATTTTTATAACGTGTCATTGATCTATGCGAGTACTGCAGTGGGCCGCTGCCTGCAGGCACGTAACTCCTCTACAACAAAGTAAGACACCATCCAGACCTTACCATTATTCTACAGGAAAAGGCTAACCGTCCACCAGTCACACCTGAATGGAAGAAAACACAAGCAAAATGGATAAAATCACAAATCTCAAATCCCTTCAGTCAAACATGATTGTTGTAAACATGGCAATTTTTAAGAAAGCTCTGGGGATTTACAATGGTGGTCAAGGTAAGATGATACATACCACAGAACACACTGTAGCCATAAAAGACTGTAAACACAGTGCCAAGTTAATGTAATCAATGAAAAAGATCTTTAAAAATAACTAATGTTTGTGAAGACATTATAAATAATCTGGTTATATACAAAGGGCAACATGGGTGTTATGGGTTGGGGAGCAGAAAACAACATCTACTTTTCTTTGTTCTGAAAAAAAGCTGTAATCTTAATTTAGACTACAGTATCTGGTAAGGAGGAAACGACCATTATTACAACTACTGGACAGTACAGTACTATGGTAGTTCCTTTGATTCAAAGTTTGTAAATGTTATTCCATAAGTTTTGTTCCTATAAAGACAAAAACTTGGTTTGTGTGTACCTTTGATGGCCTATATACTTCTCATTCAACAAGTGAACTAAGCGATCACCCAATAGAATACCTGTATCCATTAGTAAAGCCTTCCTTATAGAGGAGGTTAAGCATTTTGAGACTGTCCATCTGGAACAGTACAAGTAGCTACTTTATTGCATAAACAGCTATTCACCCATGCAAACCATAATGTATAAAGCAAGCTCCAACCCCAGTCTGAAGGTGATTAAAAAATACATTGTGTTAACAGGTATGCCAAAAAAAAAACCCTGAACTATCTCGGTCAATTTAAATCCTTCCGTCATAAACTTGTCAAGGAACGTGTTTTCTACACTTTATATTTGTTCACAATGATAGTGTTTACATTCCATAACTCAAGATTACTGTACAGTACATTCTAATTACAGTAAGAGGTAAGTGGTGTTTGATGGTAATTCTGGAATAATGATACCATAAAAATTCTGTAAAGATTAGTGAATGCTTTTTGGTATACCAGTTGCAGTCCTCACTAACCTGCTCCAGTCACTGTCAAATTCTACATCAGCTCAATCTTTCAGTGATATTGAATATAAATTACAGTACATTAGGTGATGACCCTTGACAAGTCATGCATATAAGTTAATACTCAAAATTATTGTGTGCTTTCCTTACTTTGAAACATAACTCAGGAAATTTTTAAGTAGGACTGCATTAGTAGGGTCCATGACTAAACATAACAGTGTGTTATGTGCAGTAACTCACAGTAACTATCACTAAATATGACCCTCCTCTTCAGTACACACAGTCACTCACCTGGAAGAACTCCATAAAACCATAAGTCTCTTATACAGTACAGTACAGTATATAGTCTTATTATTGCTTGTAGGTGACAGTTTTCCACCTGCTATCACTTGTACACTGAATCTGTTCCCTTGTAATGTTTACTTTACACTTGAGGCTGTCAGTGCCATTTGTTTTTCATGAATGAGTCAGCCTCATAAGTTTCCTCTACGGTACAGAGGGTCCCCGGGTTATGGAAGGGTTCCATTCCCGAGGACATTCTTAAGTCGAAAATGTACGTAAGTCAGACACATGCTATGAGCATGCCGTACTTACAGAATAAAAATTAAAATCCCACTATATCATAACATCAGTCCTTTTATATATATATATATATATATATATATATATATATATATATATATATATATATATATATATATATATATATATATATATATATATATATATATATATATATATATATATATATATATAAAATCACTTAATCTAAGAAAAAAGAAGAAATAAAATGACAAAATACAGTAAATGAAAGAAAGAAATAAGTCATCAGGTAAATAAAATACAGTAATGTACAGTAATTTCAAGTTTAACCTCGTTCGTATCGGCGGGCGTCACTAAGTCGGACGTTCATAAGTCGGGGACCTCCTGTACTCTAATTTTTAATAATAAATAGACTTGTACAAATGAGGTGTTCAAGTGGAGCATTACCTGGGCACCTCACAAGGCCTTGGAGCAACACACAAAATAATAACTGTACTACAGAGCGGTCGGTCACACCAAGAATTACTGAAGCAAACAACCAGATTCCTCTCAATGAATAACAAAGTTTTGGTCAGACAGCTTTCAAATTTTCTGTGGGATTACAATATGTGAAACTCTAAATGTTAAGGAGTGTGCACCGAGTCATAAAAGAGCATACTTCATACTACACATAACTATACAGTACGCATGTGATAACCCCGGAATACCCAGTACAAACATACAGGTATTATTCCGACTTATCAAAGGGTTCCATTTCAGGAAAACTTCATAAAGTCATTTTTCATAAACTGAAACACATTTTTTCTTTATAAAAGACGAAATATCAGTATGAACAAAACTGCTTCAGCCTTTGTTTACATGTCAAGACACACTCCCATTGGGCAGGTTGATTACCATTTATATTGGATTGAATTCATTACTTTTTTTCTAGAGATGTTGTTTGGATGATAGTAAGCAAGAAAATGAAACAACCACAGGTTAGGTTAGGTCAGGTCAGGTTAGGTTAGGTCAGGTTCTAACAGATTCTGTGCATTCTTGCTTTCATTTTCGTGTTCAGTATCATGCAAACAGTTTCTCCAGAAATTTTGGTTCAATCCCATAAGCTGTTTATGGTGCTAGCTAGCGGTCTCCTCCACCTTTACCTCAAATTTGAATTATTTACATGCTGATCGTTTCACTCAGAAATGTTTCCAACAGCAGCTACATTAACTGATTTGTCAGAGGTAAGATGAACCAGCCAACCTTATCTAGCCACAATAATATTATCAAACTTGAAAATCCTTCCTTTTGAGAAATATTTTTTTTAACATTAACCTGTGCCGTCCTTCCAGAGTATTACTACATTTGGTTTACTGGTCCACACTGCTTTCATTCACTGAAGCCATTAATTTGCTGGAGTAAATGAACACCAAGAGCCACCATCAGACTACCCCAGGGCAGGCATAGGGGAAGAAAGAATACCATTATCATGAATAACAATGGTTGTTTGGTCTAAACCCAAAGACGGAAAACTTTTATCTGCACATTATTTTAAAAGATGCAGTTTGACCGCAATATCATGCTTTATTATTACTCAGGTTCATTTAGGATTTATATATGATTAACGTAGGTACAGGACCTGGCGGCCACACCAAGGCCACACTTGTATTAGGCTTAACACACCTCAGCTCGATTGTATTCAGATTCCAATACCAAAAAAAATAACAACCTCTTAATGACAGCAACACAACTCAGCCTTGTAGATCCACCACACTGTGAGGAGCTCCATGAAACATTAGGTCTAATAAAGTTTGGGGAAGACAGGACCGTCATCGTTGCACCACCATGACAACACCAGCCCAGCCACCCACTACCACTTACCTTCACTAAAACACACCTGCTACCTCAGTTTCATTATCATCAAATAGTGTAAACTATGCCTGGCCTTTCCAGCTGCCTCTCTGACGTCCTGTCATCACTAAATAAAGGTATATGACTTGAAATTGATGTTAAAATCAATACTCACTCAACTGCAGGTCAGCACCATTGCGATGAATAAACACCACAAATACCAACCTATCTTATACGTCATTGATTTATTCTTCTCCACATACGGTCTATTTCCATTCATGTGATGTAATGTTATTCTAAAAAAATCTCAATAATAAACTACATCTAATAATATGTATGGTGGATACATTTGTATTATAAAATATTATTACGGTTGGCATGCTTGTTGATAACTGGCCCTGTGTGAACTACTGTCTCTGATCAAAACACGTACTAGACATTATGGCTTAAGAACCAACAACTGCATTAATAGTCATACACCTTATAATGACATGGTTCTGTGTACAACATAAGCCATACAAAGCATCCAAAATATTTCTTAAACGTCAACCAAATGTTAGTTTTGGAATGTTAACAGGACGGTAACTTAACACTCTACCATGTATATTCCTTGGTTAAAACTGAAGTGTCGTCATACTGAGTTACCACACATTCCTTGTCTTATAGATATTAAGAATTACAATAAACATCAATGTAGTTGACAAATGGAGTAGTTCATAATCACGTAATACTTTATAACAAATCCTTCGTAACATTTCATCAGTCCATATGAACCTTCATCACATTAAAATAGTATCTTATTCAGGTAAATTGAAATACAATATTGTAAAGGACATACAGAACTCACCTTCTCGCTGGTCTGCATAGATGACGCCCTGAGCAATGAAGATACCAGTCTTATCTAGTGAACATGACTAGGGGGGGGGGCTATGATAACCAGGTCTTGTTCCGGACCCCGACCTTGGCTGCTTAATGTACTGAGTTCTTCATATATATACTGTATATATACAGTATATATATATATATATATATATATATATATATATATATATATATATATATATATATATATATATATATATCTTCAGCAATGGACTTGTTACGTGAAAAGCGTAGTTTCCAAATGAAGAGAACCAGGAAAAACAAAAATCTTGACTAGACTCCTTTAAACTTGAACTATGATGGACTACCCGTGAAATATGATGTAACAAGTTTAAAACATTCTCTTCTGCTACACCATCTCGGCTCAAGGTTTGGTTTGGTGCTACAGTGGCGTGCGGTCTACAGAGATACCTTTAGTTTTATCTAACCTAACCTAACGTAAACTTACCTACGTTAAGCTAACCTTTTTCAGTACAGTATTTGCTATCCTACAGCAGAGGCAGAAAATCAAACATGAATAAGTTGGATAGTACTGCGAGTACAAACTTTTGTGGAGCAACAATTGTAACAGAGACGTGACCGATCGCCCAAGGGCTAAAGGACCGGTCAGTGGTGCAGAGGACAAACGTGTGTTGTGACTGGCGCAGCCCAGCAGCTACACACAACTTTGACTTTGCTTTTATCATCTTCAACACTGATCGGTTCGTTAGGACTGTCCTTGGGTACAGATGCATTCAAGAGCCAGTTCATGACCAGTACTTGCTAACAGTGAGTAACAAAGACATAACCGATCGCCCAAGAGGCTAACGAGCCGATCAGTGGCGAAAAGGATAAAAGTAAAATTTGGTTTTGGGAATGACATCCACTTACACTTTGGCTGGCTAATCTGTTGTCCCTTGTGAACTTGACCTCTCCTGGCTTCCAACTATACCCAGTAACCCAGGTACCTTACAACCCACGCCACCACCTGACGTTTCCAGTTAGCTAAATATATGACCCAATAACATTAATTAGGATTATAATATACTATCACATACCTTCAATTATGGAAAATGATAATAAACATCATTAGTCAAGATTAATAAAGAATTACTTATATACTGTACACCTACACCAAGTATTTACACAAACCTGGTCACCATCACACCCCACCACAACAATAAGAAACACAGTAATACTCCTAAAATATATTACTGACACACCTGATTGTTTTCATATTTTCCATTTATTTAACTTATTATTCATTAATTATTTGTTCCTCAGTTTTCGGCGTCCTGCAGTACACGGCGGCGCCTCAGATGACCACTCTCTTGAGGCCCTGTCTGGGTGTCTGTGTGACGAAATTTCAGCCCAACTAATTTTGTAGACATCTTATCTATTTTGTCTTATTCAACAGTAAGAAGGGAAGGAGCACCACCACCCCTCACTGACCAACCAAACTTTTTCGGCGTGAGAATATTGTGAACTCTTGGAATAATCTACCAGTGTGTTTTATGACAGCCATGAAAATAATAGTTCCTCATGAAACAATAATCGTCTTCTACAATTATTTTTGGACTCGTTTTCTATGAGGAACATATTAAGTCCTTCTCACCACGGGCGGCGCTGTGGTATAACTCTCTGTGGGATCTTTCTGAGACTACAGGGAATATGTGAGGGTGTTAAGCTTCCTTATTTGATACCCCTTGAGCTGGGTGTTTTGGTCCTCGTGTGCTGCAGGGTGAATCAAGATGAGCAACATTGACATTACTGATCTTGTGGCACACATGAAGCCTGAGTAAGACTGTATTACACTTCCTTCTGTGGAAATGATTTTATGTGGCGGGTTAATTATGGAGAGACTGATGGCTGACTGCACGTTTGCATTATTTACTTGGATGTCTTTACACATTTGCTAATTTGTTTTCTGCTCTGAGTTTTCCCTTTAAACCTTCCATACAGTTCACAGAGGCAGCTTGTGGTGTAGCATATAAACTGTGGTGTACAGGAGCTAGCATCAGGAGGGGGCCCACTAATACCCAAATGTAGCCGCAATGAAGTCAAATAATGGTCCTACATGAATAAATCTGGTTACCAATCACCTCTCGACTAGTATTTGGTGTCACAAAGTAAAAAAAAATTGGAAAACTTAATTTAATTTGAGTTAATAGATCAAGTGCATGTACCTAACCTAACCTAACCTAACCTCGACTAGTATTTGGTGTCATAAAGTCACAAAAAATTGGTAAACTTAATTTAATCTGAGTTAATAGATCAAGTCCATGTACCTAACCTAACCTAACCTAACACAACTCAGATTCAATTCAGTTTACCAATTTTTTGTGACTTTATGACACCAAATAATAATCGAGAAGTGATTCACAGCCCGATTTACGCTTGTACGACCATCACTTGACTTCATTGCGGCTACATTTGGGTAATTACTCGCTCCCTTGGTACATGCACGCGATCTATTAACTCAGATTAAAGTAAGTTTTCCAATTTTTTGTGACTTTATGATACCAAATACTAGTCGAGAAGTGATTAGCAGTCCGATTTATTCATGTAGGACCATTATTTGACTTCATTGCGGCTACATTTTGCTACATTTGGGTAATTAGTCGGACCGTCAGGACGTAGTACTGTATAGTGGCACCCATAACTACTTGAAGGAATCTCTGACCTCAGTCATATCATTCTTGTTCTTTAACATTAAAATTTGACTTGGTGCAAGAATGGTTGTCAGTTCACAAAGGAAGTGGCATTACAGTGGTGTTCACAGAATTAATTGGTTAGCAGTTGTTCAGTTGAAATACGAGTAGAGTCATTATATTGAATGTAGTAAGTGCTGGGACGCTGGACAGTTCCAAAAGGAGGCGAGATAGATTCATGGACGACAGAGGGTGGCTGTAACTCCCGACAGGAGCTGTCAAGCACAGGCCAACCTGCCTATTGCAGACTCCTTATGTTCTTATGAATGTTAATTAGTCATTTAACCAGTGATGGTGGACAAAGACATGAGATGTGTATGACAGTACTGTACCAGTAGAGTCATTATACCAGTGTTTCCAGGTAGTCAAGTACAACTCTACTATCCAGGGTATTATAATCGTTTTGGTCATCCAGTCAACTTTAGTAGGTTATGTTAGGTTGCATTTGAGAAGCAGTGTTGTGACCGATTTTTACCTGTTAGGTTAGGTTCCAAATAGATGGATGACCGAAACAATAATTTTACCCTAACCAGACCAAAAGTTGCTTAATATGTACGGTATTGCTGTTCACACGAGAAGTGGTGCTTCCAAAATTTTAGATTCTGTGAATGAAATTTAAAAATAATATTGATTTATAAAGAGCAGAGTGTCGTGATGGCACCGAGTGTGAGCTTATTCAAGACCAGACTTGACCAACACTGGAGCAGGTTCAGGTACATTCAGGAGCCGGTGCATGCCCAGTACTTGCCAACAGTGTGTGACAGAGATGTGACCGATCGCCCAAGCTGCTAACAAGCCGATCAGTGGTGAAGAGGATAAAAGTACAGTAAAGAGAATGTCCAGTGTAAACTATTTTGAATTCTTTTAAAATTGTCCTTCAGAGAATTTACACCAACAAACCTCACATCTCAACTTAGCCTAACTGTTAGTCACTGATAAATATCTATTTTTGGGAGAACCATAATGTAAGTTAACCAAACTTGGACTGAAAATTAAATTCACATGTTGGACAACTGCCGAAAGGTCTCTCCTAAGTTGCCAGAGTGTGCTCAGCGGACAGCTCTGTTTCTCACTTCACACACGGCACGACCTCTATCACCAGGTTTGCTACTAATTTCCTTTGCAATATCAGTAACCATTTGCACACAATAAGTCAAAGTCTTGTCACAAGTGAAGTATTAGTGTCTGGTCTCTTTGATTATTTTCTTGTGTTGGATTTTATTTCATTTTACTTATTTATTTATTTATTTTTTTCAATTCACATTGAAGCATCAACTTCATGAGAACTGTTCATAATTTCAGTTAACCTGTAGAAATTTGTTGCATATTAGGGTGGTGATGTGATCGTGGTCCTCCATCACCTGAGAGTGAGTACTGTACTCTACAAGGTCCGGTGCAACTTACTTTGAACACCTTGTAATGTTGCCTTTTTTCCTACCTGTTAAAACCATTATTTCAATCTCATGATTAATTCATTTATTATGTAACTGAAAAGACGATTAATACCTTTTTTATTATTATTTTTCCTGAAAAAGAATCGCTTATTATTAATGTTTTATTTGTTCTCAAAGTGTTTTATTTACATGTACTGTACTGTTTGGTGTAATAGAGAGCCGAGTTAAAGAACTGTAATAAAATATCTGGTGGTTGGTGGTTGTATTTATTTCTGTTAATTTGAATATTCCAATTTAGAAATTTTGAAACTGAAAATTCAACTTTTGGTGAATGGTCAGAAAGATTATAATCATATTAAAAAATATCATTTTTAAAACACACACACAAAGCTTTTTAGAGAATTACTGTAACTTGATTTTTTTAATACCTTGTGATCTGAAGTCTTACAGTGAAGTAAATCCACAAATTGACTGTATGATGCGTCTCTCTAATGACTTACTGATACAATAAAAGTCTGTTATGTATGGCCTGACAGGCTTACCAATGACAGCCTTGTTTTGTCAGTGTTTGTGACATTAATACTTTGCTGTGTGTGATACCGACAGCTAGTTGACTCTGACCACAATGTCTCGGGACTCGGGGGTGACTTCTTAAGCTCTGTTGCTGGTACAGTACAGGTGGCAGCAGGTTGCCAGTGGTCATGCTGTGTCAGGGATGTTAAACAAGGCATTAAAAATATAAGTCACAATGTAAATCATGATCAGCACCAGACCTTGGGTATGAGGCACAGGGCTCTGGTCAAGTCTGGTGATCACACGGTATTGCACAGTCGTGAAAATGTTAAAGTGGCCAGAGTTTAGAGATTTGTGAAGTTTGTAGACTTGGATAATTTGATAACTACTGTACTGTACCTGTATTCAAATACTGTACATAAATTATTACATGCTGTACATCAATTACATACAATAAATATCAGTAAAGGGTCATCCAATAATTAAGGATATATTGATTTTGCAGATTTATCATACCAGTGGAGCCTTGTGCGGCCACAGATGAGCCACCGACCAAAAAACAAAAGCTGACTGGTGAGTAAGGTGATGACCTAACCTTCCCTCAGGTAACATTAGGGTCATTAATTTTCAGGTGAAATTAGCTGGATTTTCTATTCAGGTGATCCAAAATATGTCCATTGTAATCAGTGCTCCATCTTCACCCAAATTTAACGAGTCCTTACTGTACTGTATTATGTTCATCATTATTTTAGATAATGAGAAATTTCCAAATGTTCATATATTTGTTTAAATAATTAAGAAAATTTGATGTGATAATCTTGTGGCAGCTGTGGTTGTAGTTGAGTTGCCAAGTCATTATTTAAGCAACTATAGCTGCCTTTAGTAGGGATTACTGTTATTCTTGTAGTTTTTATACTGTACTGTACTTCCTGTGTGAGCAACTGGGATAGCAAAAAATTTGATTGTGATAATATTTATAAATTTATTTAGTCAGAAAGAGATGTAGTGATAATATTGTACAGTATATGATATGACTTAATGGTTTCCAGTAAAATTGTCTTTAATTTTGGTATTTGTATTGCCTGTGTAGTTCTGATGTATAGAGAAGATTTACTTATCCATAATGTACAGTTTTTGAGAGCAGTAATCAAGCTGCAGTCCCTGTAACATGGCCGTCTTTTCAGCGACTTTAGTCAGGTTGAATTTTGATTTGTCAGCCCTCAGTTATACTGTAGCTATAGTGTGTTTGTGATCATGGGCAACAGAATAATGTGTTGACTTCTTTGTATATCTAGAAAATATAGTATACGTAGCAGGGCACTTGATTACAGTACAGTAGGTATATCATATATGTTATGTTCAGTGTGTTTTCATTGTCATACTTAATATAAACTATTATATACTGTATTACCTAAGTTTTTGCCTGATTTTTTCATGTGACATTTTAAAGAGTTTTTCTTTATTTTTAGGTACAAATAAGAAACGACCAAAATTGATGAAAGCTCCTAAGAGTAGCAAGCTGTGTCGGTCTCTGTGGTGTTTACGTGTTGGTGAAGATGTGAGTGGCCAGTGTACTTTCCCTAACTGTGACTTTATACACGATGTCTCCGCATTCTTGAGCTCTAAACCTGAAGATCTAGGGCAAGAGTGTCACAACTACCGCACATATGGCCGGTGTAATTACGGTTTCACTTGCAGGTAGGCTTGAGATGGATAATAGATTTGTAGTTGGATAAAGGAACTCAGAGGCCAATATTACCACCAATGTACTACAGTTAGATACTGTACTCTATTTTGTAGCTTATGGGTCATCAGCAATTGACATATGAAATACTAGTGGTAGAATACTCCTAGCCAGGCTACACAGTATTGTCAGCTGTGAAACACTCCTCACCTCACCCAGTGAATTAGGATTGAATCAAACTTGATGTGTGGGTCTGTTATCTCAGCGAGTAATATGGGGTGTGGTTTTTGGTTTAAGACCTGCCTACTGACACAACTGATAGGCTGTAGTGGCAGACCTCACAAATATATTGGTTGTGTGATTTGAAACTTGAGATTTGTAATCGATTTTTTGTATCAGAATTTACCCAGACCACAATATTGCTTCCTCGGTGAACTGGTAACAAAGTACGATGACCATCCCAACATAATACACTTACTTTATTGGCATAGTTCAGTACTGTGAGAGCCACCTGACATGGATATACAGTACTGTAAGCCAGAAATGGAAGATTGATCTTGAAGAATCTTCAAGCGTCAGTCATAACTACTGTAGGTGTCTCGGTAACCCTCCACCTACTATGACCAAGTAGCAGGTACTGAAACACGAGTGGTCGACTAGACCCGAGTTCACTCATATTCTCTCTGGCAGGGGTAGATGATTCATAATGGTAGATCTGGTCATCATGGTTGGGTGCTGTGTTGGATAGTCACAGCTCTCAGTAGACCTTCATGTCTTCAGAACAAGAATGACAATCAGTCTGCAATAGATCATTAGATTGACCCAGGGCATCATCAGGAGGTTCTGACTAGGACTTAAGGACCCCTGGAAGTCTCCCAGTATTATGGGCATTGTCTAACATCTGGTTCTGATAGAAAAAGGGGCTACCAGTCTGCAGTACAGTACAGTACTGTATAAGTTTGTGTGGTACATCAAAGCAGTGTTCTTTGTTTGTTAGTTTATTTTTGTCTGACATTTACATTGCATGTACTGTATGGTTCACTTTTTTTAGGTCTTTTTGAATTGCCTTTGACAGAAAGTGTCCATTGTTTCTAGGGACATTATAGAGTGTCAAGGATAACACTATACTGTGCTGCACTTGTTTGGCGGGAGACTTGGGGAGAGAAACCTTGCTACCGATTTATAAGAAATGGGAGCTAATTCTTGTGTGGGGTGTGTGGCTTTTCAATCATGGAGGTTTTGTAGCTCCTCTTCCTCTTGTCAACTGAGCTGGCTTTGGTTTGTAAGTCACTTGGTAGAGGTAAGTAATCAGAAGTAGAGGATTGATCCTTAAACACTTTTAAAGAGCTTCATACGAGCTACTAAATTGGCAGTTTTTCAAACCAGCAAACAAATCCAGCAATAGATCAAGCGTTTCCAGCTAGTGTTCCCAGTTTCTCTCAACCCTGACATGTCATTCTTTGTGGCCCAAAATTGGCATCACTCTCGAGTTGTACTTGTATACAGTACTATATTAAATTGAAGGTACGGTTATTTGCCATAGGTACTGTACAGGCATATTGTATGTCCTTATGATGAATTTGGATAATACTAAACTATATAAAATACTTGTAATTATTTATGAATGCGTATTAATTGTGTCCTTGGAACGATTTGAAAACACTGTTTTTATTTTGCTAGTGACAGCACAAGGCACAAAATCAAAACCTCACCCCAAAGTCTACAAATGTTTTCTTTCTTGCTCACACTTAATACAGCTAGACCCGCCACAGTAATAAAACTAGAGATTCATCTTGAATATTTACGTTTCTGTGATGCTGGAATTCGACTCTCCCTGTGTAGCTAACTGGAATTGTAGTACTGTACTGGATTTGCACGCTGGTTCGAAAATTTGTGTGTGATGCCGCCTTTAGTATTCTGTATGTGCAGCTAATCGTGTGGCCTTAGTAAAGTTGGAATGAGTAATGAACTATTGTTTGGAGCAACTTTGTGTGTACAGTACAGTACATTGGGCCAAAGACAAGACTTGGCCATCAACTAAGAGAATGAAACCATAAAACTGATGACTGCTTCAAACTTAATGCTTTTATTTTCTTGCAGATACGGTAGTGATCATATTGAAGGCTTGGGTAACAAGGTGAATGAGGAGCTGTGGTCCAAGTATACAGACAAACCAATAATCTGCAATACAATAAAGAAAGAGGTATGAACTTAATGTTTTCATCCCTAGAAGGTTTTGAACAGTTCCTCGTCATATGTTTACGATGACCCAGAAAAACTGTCTATTTGCCTCGAGAATAGTTATTGAAAGGGTACAAAGCAAAGTTACTGAATTTGGATAAATTTCTCATAAATTAATTTGAAATTAGCAGTAAATGTCGTAAAAATTATGTTTAAAAAAGAATTTTCTGGCCTTCAGTCCTTTGTTGAGTGACCTGCAAGACTTCTAATACACAGATCACCCTATGACAGAGGTGCCAACATAATATGTCTTGAGCAATCATTGGCAGGAAACACTATTCATGTTATTAATGATTTATATAACAAAATATCTCCTCACTCAGTCACATCTAGAACGTGCTGAAGTATCCAGTGGTGTGGTAGTCTACCTCTATTCAATAAGCTTAACTCCTGAATGGAACAAAACTTACTGTTGATGTGGATAGTGTTTATGACTGAGGCGCTGTACACTCCTGTTCAGCGGTGTCTTGTGGTGGTTGTTTCTCATGGGTCTTGAGGTCCCCTTAGGCTAAGATTAATGAAATTATTGTATAAGAAAATGTTGCATAAAGTAACAATAAAATAAACCTGGGTTAATGAATAATAAACAGGGGTCACCTGCTTGGGGTAGACCTTTGTTATCTCTTGTTCTAATACTTCACTCAAGTTATTTATTTTGTAGCACTAAACTTGTAAACAAACTCACAGGTAGACGACATGCACAGTGGTGATAGTAACGGTGATGCAGTACTGATGGTAATTTTGACTTGGGGTGAGGTAGTAATGGTGCTGAGGATTGGTTAGAGGAGGAGCTAGAGAGCACAAGGAATTAATTAAGGTGGTACTGTACTTAAGGATATTTTTGAGGCATTACTAAAATTTGTACTGTATTTTATAGTAAGCTGCACTCCCATTCTTGCCAAAGTTTGAGGGAGAAAAGTGTGGCTTATATTCATCAAAATACAGTACACTCTAATGTATTATGATGCTCTATTTCACGGTAATGCTTGGTCCCACTTATGATATAATGAAGGTCTATTTTAAACAGAATTATCACCATTTCTCCTGTGGTGAGTGACATAGAATGAGTTTTATATTAAATACTTGATCAATTTTCTCTTATCAGTAATGTTTTTGGGTTTTTTACCCAATTGCAGGTCCAACTACAATTACGAAAACGAAAATATGACTTTACAGAAGCATTGGACGCCCACCGGAGAACACAGTCAGAAATGGCAAAGGGTGAAGCCAATGACAAAAAGAAAATAACAGATGGAATAAATGAAAAAACTTCCAGTTCCGAAAAAGATTGTAATGATAAAGAAGATGAAGCAAAAGATAATGAACCTGCTCCTGAACCTGCTCCTGAACCTGCTCCTGAAGATGTTATAAAACTCACTGCTAGAGAAAAGAAGAAGGTAGGAGACCAATATAACAAAATAATCATAACAGATTTTTTTCTTCAAAGTTTATTATATGAATGTTTATCAGAGTGCTGTACTGTACCTATTGAAATGGTTATTCAATCTTGCAGTCATTTGTACACACGTTTCCCTATTCATTGCAGTGAAACAAAGTGAGTCCCATAAACTTGACTGCCTTTACTCTCCTAATACAGGGTACTAGTAAATTCAGGTACATTGCTATGATACACTACATTGTTGAATACTATATTAAATCTTGTTGTGTCCAGATTGAATGGAGAGACAAGACATACTTGGCTCCTCTTACCACACTGGGGAATCTACCCTTCCGCCGCATCTGTAAGCGGTATGGAGCTGATATAACATGTAGTGAAATGGCCCTTGACTCGTGCCTTCTGAAAGGATCCCCTAACGAGTGGGCCCTTATCAAGCGTCATGAATCTGAAGATTGTTTTGGTATCCAGGTACGGTATTTTATTTCATTTCAAAATTGATAATAAATTATATATCTTTAATGATTGTAAACTTTATACAGTATTAACTACCAACCTGCTCACCTGTGTACTTGGAATACCTAAATACAGATAACCCAACCACTCATTTTAACTCTACCAAACAGTGTATATATATAGTATATTCACTTCAACTCCAAACTCCAGTACTATATTCTTTCTCCTCTGATATTCCTCGTACCATTGCCTTATTCACCATGTACACCTTAATAACTCAGTGTTTACATCAACATGGCTGTTCAGATATTATAATTTCCCTCTCACCAAAGCTCTGATATATTACATACATCAACTCATCCCAGAACTTGTCCTTTTCTTTCTCACTCAGCCCTGCCTGGGGTGGGGGGTACATGCAGCTATAACAATCACCAGAATATTTCCTACCTGTAGCTTCAGAACCATAATTCACACATTAAAATTTTTCACACACCCAGCACTTTCTCCAAACATTTCTCACACACCCAGCACTTTCTCCAAACATTTCTTCTCCAAACCAGTCAAGATCTCTACACCACCTGTCCCAAATTAAATACATTTCCAATAGATTTTATACCCAACTAAATTGGGTTCATTCACTTTTGATTGCATGTAGATTCTTATGGCATTCATGTCTACATTGTATACTGTAGGTGATTTTTGTATGACAGGTTTACTTTGGTTTTGGGGTTTGTATAGTTATAATTAGTGAAGATGGGTAACTCAATGAGAACAATCAAGAAAAATGGAAAACATCTCCCTGGCGAAATCTAGTGAGGTACAGTCACCCACGAAAGTCCTGCCACCTCTCCTCCTAAACCATGAATCCCAAGATTCAGACTTGTGAACCTGAAGCATTTATGAACAGAATAATGCATCAGCGTCCACTGCTTCAGGCTCACGAGTCTGAATCTCAGGGTTCAAGGTCCAGGAGGAGAGATGACAGGGCTTCTGGGGGTGACTGTACCACCTAGGTACTGAGCCTTGAATCGAGCCTACAGTGCTTGTTCCTCACTAGGGTAATACTATGTGTACAGTGTTGCTCAGACTTATGGGAAATAAACTAAAGGCTCTGTTGCCCTCATTGAATGACTCACTCTGGCAACAATCAGCTGTCAGACCCCCTGAAGGGTTCTAATGTTATCTGATACATAAAGGGATAGTATGTACAGTCCAGATGAAAGTCCAGTGTGTGTAAAAACTGTTGAGCCCAGTAACCTTTTTACATTACTACATGTACTTAATAAAAACATAAAGATAAGAAGAAAAATTATTCTATAATATTTTATCATGTGTCCCTTGGATTTTAACACTAGTTAAAGTCAGTTCATCTTGGCTTCCAAAATGTTTAAGAATTTATCACAAAGTATCTTCATTGTCCTGAGCTTGAGAGCCTTCAGGTGAGGTAGTGGTGATGTGTTCTCTGTCAACAGACTGTGTTTCATCTGAGTCTTGAGTTATAAGGTCATTCAAGCTCTTGAGTATTCTTGCAGTTTGCTTTGTGAGGGTTTTTCTTTTTACATGATGAAACGGCCTGCACAGTACAGCTTCTATTGCAGTCGGTGTTGGTTCTGACACAGCTTGAAGGAGGTTGAGGTGGATTTTCTTCGTTTCTACTGCAGACTTTGTTGGATTCTTCATCTTTTTGAGTAAAATTAATTAGTGTGTCAATGGCTTTGGAAGTTTTCTGGGCCTCCTGGGAGATAATTTCCAAGATGGAACAGAATTAGTTTTCCAAAATTTATTAGAGTGATGCAGTTTATACTGTGACCTGAGCTTTGTAGGTAACTCATTAAGTGTTTGTCTTACTCAGGTGTGTGGCAGCAATCCCAAAACCATGGTGAAGTGTGCCCAGCTCTTGGATGCAAATGCTGAGGTAGACTTTCTGGATATCAACATGGGCTGCCCCATTGACTTCATCTACAATCGGGTAATTATGTGTCAGTGTTTCAAACTGTAGTGAGGTAGTGACGCCATGCTGCCCTCACCATATGTCAGACATGCATTCTTGAAAAGTGAAACATATTCTCTATTGTAAGTTACCTTAAATCTTTTAATAAATTAGGGCAATAATAATTTCAGAAAGGTATGTGGAAACAGTAATACTATTTTATTAATACAGTATAAATAAAGATAATCAAGGTATCAGACTATTTTATATAATGAACATTAATTATTTATTAACTTTTCTTGTGGCAGATCAACTCATTAGAAGCTTCTGGACCATCAACAGACTCACTTAAAGGGAACTGTTAATTTCTAAGTAAACTGTAATTAGTGAGTTGTGTTCTCATTCCTTTCAGTAATCCTTCTTTTCTATTCATGATTACAGTGGCTGATGGATTTATTTTTTCCATAGGGAGGTGGGAGTGCCTTGTTGCGTCGTCATGGCTGCTTGGAACACATGGTACGAGGCATGACAAACGTTTTATCCAAACCTCTCACACTGAAGATGAGAACAGCGGTGTACAATGATACTCGTGTTGCTCACAAAATTATTGAGAAGGCCAAGTTGTGGGATGTGTCTATGGTTACAGTGAGTTTTACATATCTTTATATGTTACAGTACTGTATCAGTTACCTGCTTTAATACTTTACAGCAGCACAACATATTATGATACATGTTTTGTAAACTTCTTGATCACATCTCAATGTTTATCATTTGTAATAATACAGTACTGCTGTCAAACTTTCTCACTCACTCAAACATTCAAATTTGTTCTTGTGTTTTCAGCTTCATGGACGCTCCAAAGAACAAAGATACCTAAAAATTGCAGACTGGGACTACATCAATGAGTGTGCTGCAGTAGCAGACCCCATCCCACTATTTGGAAATGGTGATATCTTAAGCTTTGAGGATTATAACTATCATCGGGAGCATTCTAATGTGGCAGGTAGTACTGTACTCTGTTTTGTTTTCCTTAAGGATATTATCTTCACAGAGGCTCTGTTTGTGAAATGAAAAATTGCATTACTGTATTTGATTGTAGACAAACCTCAATAAAATATCATGGATTGAAGGTGTGGAACAGCATACCCTTATGCACATGAAGAAAGACTATACTCAGGTCTTTTAAATCATCACCAGAAACATGTCTCCTGTATAAATTTAGAAATGTTGTTTATAATTTATTCTCACTAAAGAGTTAATGAATAATTTTGGCTGCACAAGATCTCTACATTATTCAATACTGTACTGTTTTGTCTTGTTGTTGTATCTCTGACTGATTCTGTTTTGAACTTTGTGTCATTACTTACTTATACTTAGTATTATGATTAGTATTTCTGTAGTTTATTTATATACCCTGTACTGTACAGTATTCCCAAACCTATCTACTCAGAAAAAAATTCTTATTTATGATTTCCAAATGTGAACTTTAGTACTAAATAATTTTCTTTTATCGAAGGCATGATGATAGGACGAGGTGCACTCATCAAGCCTTGGATTTTCAAGGAAATAAAGGAGCAACGTCATTGGGACATCTCCTCAAGTGAACGTTTAGACATGCTCAGAGAATATACTAATTATGGTCTAGAGTATTGGGGTAGTGACACAGAGGTGAGACTTACACTACTCTACACTATAACTTTTATGTGTTTTTCATCATAGTTGACAACTCTCCCTTCCAAGTGTGTGTTGTTTACCAGTAATGCTGTAGCTACTGTACTGTACTGTATACTCAGTTGTAGTATTTGGCTCACTAAAATTTAAGGTAAAAGAGCCCCCAGATATTTTGAAATGTGGGCCACTACTGAAATTCTTACTTGATAAATTGTAGATTCCATGACAATTTTGAGTATTTCTTTCTGGCAGATTTTGTTCATTTTAACAAATATAAACACATCATATTCATGGTTAAGGACAAATCAGAGTGTCAAGAGCAAAGATGAATCACATGTGATCACCAAACTAGAGTTACTAAATGTAAGTTGAACATTTACACTAACACTGTGGGTATGTCAGCCCCCCATACACTAACTACTTGATGGAACCTGTAAGGACCAGTGGACAGTGTCAAGAGTATTGTTACATGACTCAACAACTGAGTATTCTTTATGAAATATCACCTAAAATAAGTATAATTGACTGCTCTGGCAACTGGTAAAATACTTAAGAGTAAATCACATAAATCAGTGATCACTATTAAGAACTTTTGTGTTGAGGTAAAAGCATCAGGGGAACAATAAAAAGTCAGAATTATATACATGGAGTCTTTTAGGTTGTGGCCAGAGGTACAGTTTTCTATGATGAGAACATGACAGAATGAACATATGTCAAGGATGATCATTTTGGCCATGTCTTTATGTCTTCCATTATTACTTGGAGACCATATTGTGTCAGAGTTGATGGATCTCTCTGTGGCTGGAGACTTTGTTATGTATATGCAGTACTGTACTAACACTCACTAAGCTAAGAGAACATGACAACAGTTGGCTCTGTAATATTAGTGTAGTACCTTGAGCTTCCCCTCATATCTTGACCATAAAGTGGGATGTCAGTCTTCATTCCTGATTTAAATTCTTAGTCATATGATAAGTATATTTTATAACCTGAGTAATAAGTAATATGGTATTGTTTTTCTTAGCCTAGTTTATTTGATCACATTCTTAACATTGTCTTGAGCAGAGTAAATCTAAGGTTTACGCGTATGTTTTAGGGTATTGAGAAGACCCGGAGATTTTTACTGGAGTGGCTGTCGTTTTTACACCGTTACATCCCGGTGGGCATCCTGGAACAGACCCAGAGGATGAATCAGCGCCCCCCGGCATACCAAGGTCGGGATCATCTTGAAACCATGATGGCTTCTCGCAGTGTAACTGACTGGGTCAAGATCAGGTAGGACTAATGTGTGTCTGTGTATGTTCTTTATATCTTATTTGATTTTAAGGTGAGATGACCTTCATTCGGGCGGTTCACCTTATGTAAAGTTCATTGAACCCGTGGATTTGGCGGCCGATCTGGGCAAGTACTCTTATGATTAATCACCGGCCAATCATATAATTAGGATTTAAATAATTAGTTACCTTCTCCATCATTAACATGTACTGTAAACTTTAGTACAGGTAACCCTCGTTTGGCATTAATTTGCTTTAGTGATGAAAATTTTGACGCCCTTTCTTGTTTAACGTTAAGTCAGAATTCAGTTTAGTGATAGCTCACTGGGAAGGGGAGAAACTGGGGATGAGGTGGCCTGTGAGATGGCACGTTGCCACCGTTACATGTTATGAAACTATAAAAGATGTGTAAAAATCATTACAATACAGTACAGTAATGTGGCTTGGGAGAAAATATAAAATGATGAGCACGGGTGTGTATGTGTGGAGGCAGTGGATGTAACTGTGTCACCGACTTGCTACCCCACCACACTCCCTCCCTCGATGTGATGTTATGGCACACATTTACACACACACGTCTCTTGAGCCAGCTGGGTAACTGCCCGGCAGAACTGTGTGGCATCACCCAGAGGATGGTTTGAGTGTAGAAGGAGCTAATTTTTTGTACAAAATATGTGCTATTGTATACAGTCTCTCCTCGACTTACGGCATATTCGACTTTCGACAACCTGGACATACGACGGCCATGGTCGTATAAAATATTTTTTCACATTACGTATTTTCGAGTCCCGACGTCAGTGATCGCGCTGTGTACTGAAAAATTTCTCGTTTGTAATTCCCTTTAAAATGGCTAGCAAGCATAAAAGTGAGAGTTCTCGTGGTGCTGAGAAGAAAAAGAGACCCATTTTAGAATTTCTCTGTATTATTTTTGCATTTTCGACTTACGACCTGGTCGCCGCAACAGAACCCCATCGTAAGTCGAGGAGAGACTGTACTGTGTATCAATTTTATTATTTATCATTGCAATTTTTTTTCATTTTATGGCTTATATAAGTGTAAATTTGTTCAGATTAGTCTCACCTTATGCTTACTAAATCATTTAACTCTGAACCACATCATTAATGCAGATATTAGGTGTTAATAAATCAATCGTTATCTTCTAAAAACTTTTACAACAAACTCGTATATTGGAGAATACTTCAAGGGTCATTTTGTCTGAGATTGTTATGGGATCAGTTAACGAGAGCAAAAACAGTACTGTACTCGACTCATTTTCAGATGAGTAGCAAGACTTAAAGCTGGGCTGCATAAAGGATCTTTGCTTGACATATTATCTTGTCCTCTTATTCTTAAGCTTGTGTAGGCCTCACATGCCACTTGTGAAGCTTTACAAACTATTAATGGTGGATTATGATGTTAAATCCTCTTTTATGGCTCAGGAGGTGAGCAAGTCACCAGACCTCACGCCCTCCTCCCTATAACAAAGTCCTTAACTGACACAGGGAGCTGTAAGTTTGTTCACTATCTCCCCACAGGGTTGGATGAGCTCAAGAGTATGAAGACTCCTACACTTGTAATCCTCATTAGATCTAAATCCAGAATAGGCTAAGTGAATAGGGTGCACTTACATCATCTGTTAAACATTGCTCTTCTTGTGGGCACTGGCAGGCTCTGCCTAAGGTTTCTTGGCATTTAGCTGATTCACCTTTATAAAGTTAAGACTATATGCAGAAATGTTTAGCATGTATGTTACTCTAATATTTGGTTTTCAACACAAGTGTAAATGTGAAAGTTGGTATCAAAATATATTGAAAGGATTGTGTGCCACTGCTGTAAGTGGTAGTCCCCATAATGTAGGGGACTGACACTTTATCTTTCTTGACTTTGTTTCTCTTCTTGTTCTCAGTGAGATGCTGCTTGGGCCAACTCCATCTGACTTTGAGTTCCTACCAAAGCATAAGGCCTCAGCCTACTGATTACTGTGTTCTTTAGTGACCTGTTACAGTATATAGTAGCCTTAAGATGTTTCATGAGACCGATAACTTTTGTAAAATATAGACAAACACAATATAAAAATACATGTACAGTACAGTAATTCAATACAAAATAAGGGTTCACGGACTGGAGGCCCAAACAAAGCTGAAAAGGTTTATTTATTTACTAAACATAGCCAAGAAATGTACAGTGTTGATACACCATACATAAATAGCACAATACATCACAGCCCAGTGACCCACAGACTCAGTAGTATAGAACTGTAATACTGGATGATGGTTGTGTTCATTAATCAGCAACTTGGGTAAATTTTACTATTGAAGGTTAATGTATTCTTGCCTCATGAAGAGCCACTAAAATGGGAAGGAATGAGTTTTTCTTAATATTTTTATCTTTTTTTTTTTTTGTGGATGAAACTTTGTATGTCCAGACATAAACATTGGAGCTATTGCATCATAGCATACTGCCTTGTGTGTTCAGGATGGCATCCACTACATAGAGTACAATATACTGTAGGTACAGTAAACCATCGATAACTCCGCATGGATATGGTCTCAGAATGTATTATAGTATAACTCGGGTAATGCTGAGATATATAAAATTATCTGGGAAAATCTTTGTATATCTGACCACCTGCATCACCTACCATGCCTCTGTGTCACCTACCATACCTCTGTATCACCTACCATGCCTGTATCACCTACCATGCCTGTGTCACCTACCATGCCTCTGTGTCACCTACCATACCTCTGTGTTACCTACTATGATGCTTCATTCTTCACCTCCAGTGCTGGTAAGTGTTACTTTTTTACATTTAGTGATTACATGTACACCCACTGAAAAATTATTCGGCACCCTTGGCTCTGATACACTCCTGCAACGATCACTGATATAGAAGCCGTGATTACGTGGTGTGGTTGGTACCCCCCGTCTCTCTCTGTACACACATCACGGCTTCTGTACCAGTAATCGTTGTAGGAGTGTATCAGAGCCAAGGGTGCCGAATAATTTTTTAGTGGGTGTACATATATATAGGTCGATATTTTTTATCGTATTTTTGTGGGAGGGAGGAAGTGCCTCGATAAGTCAGAATTTGGGATAACTCAGCAAGGCCAGAGCCCCATATGTGCCGAGTTATCGAGGGTTTACCGTAATAAAAACATACTAATTGACAAGAAGTGACATCTTGATCTAACATTGTTCATTAATCTGTTGTTTTATTACTGTACTTAATAAAAGCTAAATGTTGCATCAGTTCCTGCCGATGGGCTACAGTTCTTTCTCTTTACTCAAATTGCTGTTAACGGAAGAATTGTGGTTAATGGAAAATTTTAAAAAATAATATTGTATCATGACAGACTTATTCATTCCCATATTTTGGGTCTTTTCATGAGGTAAGAAAACATCCATCTTGTATAGAAAAATTGCCTCAAGTTGTGCAGCCATCATCCAGTGTATAACCTACTCATTAGTCTGCCTATGTCAGTACACCTATAAAAATTAAACATGTTTTCTAACACATCCAAATAGATAAACCAAAGATTATATGATGTCTTTCCTGGACTCCTGAAGATGTCTTGAATAAAGACGAAAGCCAAGGTGCTCCATTGTTTCCCTTTTTCCTGTGTGATTTTATCAAGATTTTTCTTATCCACATTTTCATTGTGGATCTACACGAAATATATATATATATTGGTTTCCTGCATCCTCCTCTACCACTTTGCAGTACTCCCTTCTACATCAGTTGTGTCAGCTCGGCAAGCTTAATGAAGGTATGATGCGCCTTGACTCACTATGAATGTGCTGTCACGAGCTATTTTTTCATCTCTCTTGATCTTCCATTTCCTTTGACTCAGCCTGAATCATTAGACTACTCAGTGCAGCTCTATATCATTAAAGGCTCACTGTCCAAATGTTCTAAGTATCCTCCATTTTGTGGTACAGTGTTGGCCTTAATACCTGTATGGTAATGGATGGCTGTGCATTTGCTGTCGTCAGCCTTCTGTCTGATGCTTTCATTTTGATGCTTTCATTTGCCCTTGTTCAGCGTGCCACAACTGACACACTTCACGGCCAAGTTCGTCCAAGATTTTAACATTCTCTTCTTAATTAAATTCTTTCTTTTCTTTTGCTCACTTGAGTTGGAAGGAGAAGCAGCTGCTGAGCGTTAGACCAGTGGTTCCCAACCTCAGGTCGCGACCCAAATGAGGGTCGCGGGGTGTCCTCAATGGGGTCGCGAGGGGCCCTCGGACAATTTTAAAAATATAGTACTTATCATAAAGTAAAACAAATTTTTGCTTAACATTCAAGCTATATAATATATATTATATGCCCGAGGGTCACGACACCGTATTGTTGGGAAATTTAGGGTCGCAGCCAAAAAAGGTTGGGAACCACTGGTTTAGACTCTTGGTTAGCGATGCATGTGGTAACCCGAGCAGAATTGCAAGAGAAAAGTGGAAATGTCTTGTCTTTGAGTGACACTGTGACGGCAGCTGGGGAAGTACACATGCACAGTACTGTAGTACAGTAGTTGTATGGCTTCCAGTCTGGTTTTTCTCGTGAAAAAAAAAGAAAATTAAATTAAAAGTTGTGAAATAACCCAAGGCTACTGTATACTGTACTGTAGTATTAGGCTATAGTTTAACAGGTGAGTGGTTATGCAGTTTTATTATACTGTATTGCCCTGCAGTAATTACCAAGGGATATATCTATATTTTACCATTTAATATAAATTAATTTTTATCTTAAGTTAATATCCACAACTAAAAAGCTTTTAGTAACATTCTGAATTTCAAACAATGTCAGAATGACAGTACAGTATAATGATGAATCATAATTAATAAGTTACAGTTTTTAAATGAGTACAGACATTCCCCAATTTACAAAGATCTGGTTTACAAAAGTCCAAAGTTAAGAAAAAAATTGTCCCATATTTTGATTTATGTAAAAAAAAAATCCGAACTTATAAAATTTTCTCCAATTTTTCATCATTATTTCATATCACTGGGAGATACTGAGGTACTGGACCTGGTCAATTTACAAAGAATTTAACTAAAATTAAGACACAGTGTACTGTACGGTACAGTATTGAGAGTGGTTAACCAAGTTAAAAATAAAATACTGAACTTGTGGAGTAGTGGTTTAGTTATCATGGCTCACAGGATCACTACATGAAGCAGTGGCACAGTAACTCCCATGAGCTACACTGCAAGTTTCATTAAAAATATGTTTTGTAGCATGTTAAGACAATTTGGGGGGTTGTTTTTCCCCCAGTAGTAATGTATCTTGGGTTTTATAATGGGTCATAAGGGAAATATGTCTGATTTGCGAAAGGTTTTCAAGAATGGAACCCTTTCTTAAATTGGGGAATGCCTGTACAGTATCTGTGTGTGGGAAGAGATAACTACAAGGAAAAGATGAGTCACATACAGTATTGTGAAGGTTTTAGTATGAAGTGTTTTATATTAATGATGTAAACAGAATTTGTTTAATTCAATTAATTTTAATTCTTAGGGAAATCCGATTATCTACATAATGTCTCGGGTTTTATATGAGAAGCATTAAAGATAATAAGTACTGTACAGTGCTGTAAATACAGTATTACACGTTGATGTTACTTGCATTTTATGTAAATAAATACTGAAACCTCTATTTCTCTGTCACTTTGATTGATGGTGCCTATATTGCCTTGTACGGTAACTTTCAATAATGGTTGCCTGTCGTGTTGATAATAGACATTCTGATGACCATTTAGGTAAGAATTTGTTTAAAGTGTAGAAGCTTCCACCAACATCCCCTTGGTTAAGTCACACTGTAATCTTGTGTCAAAGAAGAACTCATGGAGACCAGATACTTCACCCATTACATAAATAACCATTACTGTACTGTACTTAGAACACAACTTACAAATAGTTTTATGTGCATGCTTAACATTTTGCTTTACTTAGTCTTTTATTTTAACATTCATATAAAAGTGACTAAAGTGCAGAAAGCATCAGGGAGTGTGTGGTTGTGAGATGCCATACTGTATGCATTTACCCGCCTTGACCATGGAAAGACTCTGGTTGATCTATTAGCTGGTAATACTGTGCTGTATGCATTCATCAGCCTTTGTTACAAAAAACATTAGTACGTAATGGTTGAATTATCAGCTAGTAAAGTTTTTTTTTCTATTATCACAATTGATGCTAGAGAATGGTTGTAAAAGGGTGTGTAGGGAGGTAAAGACTGCAATTTAATGGATGATTTCTGGTCCCTGATCCTTAGCACTTATATTCCCTTAAGAGTAGCCAATGGAAACATGATCAAATGATTTTGCAATTACACGATTCCTGTATGACCACACAGAAAGGTGCGGGTTTACTATACATTACTGCTGTACAACCAGACTTTATGTCAATGGCTACCTCCATTTTTTTATACCAGATACGGACATCTGGCCATAGTGAAGAGGAAGAAGCCTTGGTATTGGTAATAGATATAAGACGAGCGTAACCCACATTCAGTTTGGAAAAAATTAAACGTGTAGAATTTTTTTTTTTTATTCCTTCCTTAAGCTACACAAAAGCAACACTTACAGGTAAAAGTATTATTAAAAGTAAAATTATTGTAAAACCTTAGAAACTGAAACAAAGTCATATTTCTGAAAAAAAGTTTTATTATAAGACCAAGACATCGTTCTGAAAAATAAAAATTAATGATTGATGTATGATAATTAATTTTATGGTCGACGAGAAGTAGTGAGTGAACCGGGCGAACACTACCACCAAAGGCCCTTCTGTGCCATTTAAAAAGGACATATAGGTCAATGGCTGGTTACAATACCTAGCAACAAGAGGCCAGACAATGAGATAATTTGCTACAAGAAGTAAATCTCGCCCATTTGGTTGCAGCTCATAGGATTTCTTGAACCAATAGTTGTCCTTACAGCCCAAAAGGATTCAGAGTCATTGAGTTAAAATGATTGACTGTTGTTTATTATATGTGTTTCTTGAAGTCCTCTGTACATGTTTAACCACAAAAGAAAGGTAATTTCCTACCTCTTCAGTTTCTGCCGATTTACAACCTTGCTCAGTCTCCAGGTCAATCACTTTCCTATTAATAGTCGGCACTTGTTGTATACAGTACAGTATAGTTGTTCGTAAGGGATGGACCCTTTGTACAGAATTGATTGTAGTACAATATCTGTGTTTTCTTGTTAACACACAAACCTGTGAAATATACAACTGGCATCTAGTTTAGCCTGACCTAAGTTGTGTAATGGGTCACCTCTGTGCTATATAAAATAAACCTTGTGTTGGCCAAATTAAAAATTAAAAGTGGTGTCCCTGTAGTGAAGGGGTTAATATGCACTGGTAGTAATTCTGTCATTTGTGGTCTATATGAAATTAAACAAGTCATAATTTCAGACCAAAGAATACCAATAATAAAGAAGAATGTATTCTTTACACTTGTCCTTCCAAAATAAAAGTCAACAAGGAGAAGCACCACGTTGTTAGCTGGATTTCTAGACAGGTAACAATTTGGGAGATGTATGAAGCTCTTCTTATGGCTTTGGTGCAAGAGAGTGAACCAGAGTCAATCCTTTTGGTTCAGTGACCCTGAATTCTCACTCGGCTTTGAGCCAACCACTGGTTTGTGGAAACAGAAGATCAGGTACAAGTTTCAAGTGTGTGAGAATTGCTACTTGTAGAAACTTCATTATCAGGTCTTGTCCATATGGATGGTGTAATGTGCCATTAAACTATTTGACCTCTGTTAACTGCAACAGAGAGGGAGTTTAATGGTACACTATTCTTCTATTGAATCACTTGCAACAACCTGTAGATCATAAAATATAATGTGGTAAGTATAAACTATTGTAGGCATTTGGGGACCCACAGAACCTGACGCACAATTCCGAGTTGAACTGCACATGGTAAAATCTTGTGCATTTAGTAAAAAATGTATAAATTTTACTGAGATACACAAACTCATACTAAATGTCCTGGCATTTAGTGTGGCATGCTTCATGGTTGAGGAATGGGGTAAACACAAGTCAAGCTTGTAAATTCCCTACAACTCGGCCATTAATGTAATTTTGACATGGGATTGCCACAAGTGTTACAATGTCAGTCAACCCAGTTAATCACATAAACTATAATTAAAGCAATCACTACCACTACTACTAAAGGTTAATATATCTCTCTACAACTAAATAGTCAACCTCAAACAAATTACAATAGTACCATAATTATTTTGTTGTTAGTTGCGACAACATCCCAACACTACCAAACTAAAACTCCATCATAATCCAATTGGTGGAACTTGGTAACTTTTTTGCAATATTCATAAGTAGAATACAAGGTTGCTCCAGGTCATATTTTGCACATCACAAAATAATGGTAATACTGTACCTCTTGGCTGTACACTACTCTTTCAATGAACTCAAATTCTACATGTGTTGTATATCATCCAAAAGAAGCATATACGTAGTTCCAGACATAAGTTTTATCATACATACAACACACAAAGTGAAGCTACATACCGGTAGGGCTTTTCCAACTCACTACTGTATTATTTTGTTTGGATATAGACAGGCATGATACATTCTTAGCCTTCACATACCTTATGAATATTGTTAAAAATGACAGAGTTCCACCAACTGGGTTTTTATTCTTGTGTTTTGAGGTTATATTAGAAGTCCAAAACACCAGAATAAGTACTAGTGCAATTTGTTTGAGATCTGACCACAGATTGGCTGGACTCTCTCTCCCAGGTTAAGTCATGTTAGCTCAGTAGAGAACAGTAGGCTGTATGAGGTCATTATATTGATTGGTGGACAGATAATGTGTAGTGGGACTGTAAGTCAGAGATGTCTGTGTGTCATTACTTGACTGGGAACCTCTCCATTTGTTGCATCATCATAGATCAAGGTAATGACAAACTTCTGTAAAACTTACTACAGTTTTACCTTCTTGTTTATTATTCTCATCCATTGTGTAACATTATTAATATTATTTAAGCACAAAATCCTAACTGTTAGAAAACATAAGCAACCAAATACCCTGATAATAAATATACGTAGTAGATTACTGTAAGTGAAGTACTGTACCTTACTTCAGCATCTACCAAGTACAGCAGACCCAACACCTTACAAAGATCATACAGTATCTTGTTGCTAACTGGTTGTTTGTTCTGCCCTCACTACCTCATCATTATTTTACTGCCATTTTTAATGCATGGATGAGTTAGCTGTTATTACCTGATGGCAGCTCTTGGCTGCACAGACTCATACACCTCTTGACCCAGTTGGTCTCCTCTACTCTCCCCACATGCCTGAACCATCTCAGCCCACCTCTATACAAAACTTGCCATTACCTACCTCTCAATACTAAACTTAATCTCTCAATAACACATTACACATCCATCTCACCATTCTTATTTCAGCTCTCAAGTCTATATATGTCAACCTCTTTAACTGTCCATGTTTCACTGTCATATAACACATTTCTTATGCCTTCAACATACAACTTTTCTTTTGACTTTTGCAACTGTGCCAGTTTTGACACCACCTCCAGCACTGGTCATGTTACCCAGGTAGCAAAACTCATCAATACATTTAAGCATTATGGTATACAGGTACTCCTCGACTTACGACCACCCGGACATACGACCGCCTCAGTCGTACCAAAATTTTTTCAAATTACGTATTTTCGAGTCCCAACGTTATTGATTGCGCTGTGTACTGAAAATTTTTTGTTTGTAATTTCCTTTAAAATGGCTGGCAAGCTTAAAAGTAAGATTTTTGTGGTGCTGAGAAGAAAAAGAGACACCCATGTTAGATTTTCTATGTATTATTTTCGCATTTTCAACTTACGACCTGGATTTGGGTCCCAAACCCCGTCGTAAGTTGGGGGACTGCCTGTATCTCCTATGTCAAGCTCTTCCAGCCTTGCTAAAGTCACAGGATTACTTGCACATACAGCACTCTTGAAGTCGGCAACATTCTGCAGGCTGCCATTTACACCATCACACTTCTTGTGTGCCCACCTTCCAAACTCACTGTACATTATTGAGTTGCTGCCAACACCTTTCTTACAGATAGCACTTGGCCATTTTCCACTTTCCAACCACGCCACTAATCAATGCTTTAGTTTTTGCCACATTTACTCTCATACCCTTGGACTATTCCATCCTTCCACTGCCACTTCAATACTCTCTGCTATCAGCACTAAGTACAACAACTTCAAGAGCAACCAGTCCTAAAATATCATAAGAATGTATTGCTTCTAACACCAAGATAAACAGAAGGAGGCTTGAGACAGACCTCTGATGCCCCATAATTTCACCTCAAATACTTCACCATTTATTCTCACATAGGTTCTTAAGTCCTTATATAATGCCATAGCCACTCACAACAAACACTCCACGATTGCCCGCTGTACTGCTACTCCACGTGGTACTCTGTTAAATGCCTTCTCTAAGCCTACAAATGCAATGTACTGTACAGCTTTCTCTTCCCTGCTACTTCTCTTGTTATAGTGTTAACCATCTCAAGTGACTGGTTGGCATCAACTGTGCTCTATACCAGTTAAGTAAATGATGCCGAGCCACAAAATGTATGAGTGTGACAAATATGTCGCATGAAGTTCCTGCCACACCAATACAATAGTTGGTCACTTAATTATTTTATAAAATTTTGTATAGAGTTGTGTAACATGTGGATTTCTTTTTTAAGTTATGAGGACTGTAAAATAAATTTGTATTATAATTGTACCTCTGATAAAAAACAGCTACCAACAAAAAATTATCCAGAATGTAAATTTTCTGGAGAGTTATATTTCTGGTGATTTTTCATAAGAAGCTGTTCACTGACCTGGCAATCCTGCCCTGATGTACTCACAGGGCTTGTCAGTAGCTCAGTGCCTACAGTGATGTGAAAACGAGAATATGATATGTAATGTTATGACACAACATGATCATTAGTTACCCCCATCAAGAGAAGTCCTAAGGGAGAAGGGGTATTCCTATCCCTGAAGAATGCATTAGCTCCATAGAAAACTTGAAATAACAGTTCTCTATCCCACAAGATGGACTGTAAATATACATTCCCCAAAAAGTATAATTAATAACTATGTCATACTAGATGATCTATGGGATAAGTTGTTAATTTCCACTACAGACCCAGAGATGAGATCATGAATCTGGGGGTATCAGCTTACATTTTGTTGAGGCAGACATTTCTCTTGTATACCAATAACTTCAGTACTGTAGAACTATGTAGCATGAGGATGTACTGTAGTGGAAGGCCAGGAGATGGCTACTCTTGAGTCACCCCTCAAGGATGATGCATTTTGCAGCTTCTACAGAGAGGCTGTCACTCCAGGGAGAAAGAGAGCAATATTTTGCCAATGTCAGATTGGCACCACACAGGGTGACTACCATGATTCACCAAACAAATACAGTTACTGTATTTACAGAGAGGCTACATTGTCTCTGCCATACACAGAGTAGCTAAGTGACTGGGGTGGTTCTAATACTGGACACCTTGATGGTCAACTACTAATATGTCAAATGCAAATTCTACAAAGGTCTTTTTAGAGATGAAAAATCATTCACTTTAAAAGACAACGTTAGAGTCCTTTTAAAGCTGCCTAAGGCACAGTGATACCTATTTTGCTAAGACTATTGTTGGTTACGCCAGCCACAAATGTGAGCAGTGGTTCAGTGCACCACTGAGGAGAGTGAAAACCTTCCTCTGGTCTACTGTACCATGAAGCAACAGAGCCTAATGGTGCTAAACAACCACAAATGGAGGCAAATGCCGTACATGTTTCGATTAGACTTTATTTTTTGTTTTATCATTTCACCACTCAGGCAGTTGGTCTGTTCTTTGTTATGAACTTTATAAGTCCAGTATTTTTACAGGAGTACCTGTATATTTTTTCTTTTCATGAATAAGTTATAAAATGTTAAACCTGACTGTATAGTTTATACAGTATGAGGGTATAATACAGGTACTTAAGTCTCGAACTTAGAGCCTCATACAGTAGTAGACATCGGGAATCATACCATAAAGCATACAGTATATCAGTGACCTTTTTAGTCACATCATATTTAAGGTATAACAGTTCCTCTTCAGTGCTCGTTGCACCAATATTATATCACTTTCTACGGGCCCGAGTGGCATTCTTATTAAATAAATTTGGTTTCTACTCAAATGGCATACAGTATACAGTTATAGTGTGATAAGCTCTTATAATGAGGTCTCACATGATGAATTAATTATCACTATAAAATGCCTCATAAATTGTAACTAAATTTTACATTACATGGCAAAAATCCCCATGTAATGTGGTCAGGTTAGCATGATCAGTCGCCATCATTATTTTACGACCATTTTCCATGCTTTGAATGGGTTAGCTGTAATTACCTGATGGCATGGTGTCTCTGTAGCCATCAGGCATAGGTGAAGCAAGTTTTACAGGTGGATGTCCTTCTTATCACCAACCCACTTTTACAGAGTGGGAACTGGGTATTATATATAGGACTTCTAAGTGCCCTCTTAACTGTCAAGGCAGAGCATCACATCTCCCTGAGGTAGTCAGAGATTACCCAGCTACTAGGAGCTAATAATACTTGGTCAGCGCGGTGCAGATCACAAGTCTTAAGCCAGCCATCTTTGATGAGTCAGTTAATTTTTAAACATGTCTGTGAGTGTCAGTTGCCATGCTTCTCTTGCTATGCTAAGACTGTCCCTGCAACCTGTTCTGTGTGTCATAATTTCCATGCTGTGTTTGTGTTAATTGTGTACTAATTCTAAGTGTACCGTATTATAATGGCTCCCAAGTGCCCTATGAACCCTTCTGGTGTTCCTACACACAGCAATAAACTAGAAAGTTTCAGCAAAGAAATTACATAAAAAAAAATCCTGCCACCCACCAATGGCCATGCTGTACTGACCACCACCATCAATCACTCCAGAGTAATTATAAGCTGAATTTACTTACCTGTCTTTGTAAATTGTGGTCTGTATCACCAACATATTTCTAAGGTTTATCTACAGTACAGTACAGTACAGTGTCTTTAGCTTTAGTTTTCACATAACATGATTTCCTACAACAAAATGTTGAACAGGAACATCACTGTACTCTCATGATATATGGTGTTCAGCTGTACATCAAATTCTTATGGCTACTGTCCTGAATATCAACAAAATGAACATTTAAGATAGTTCTTTTAAAACATTCTTTTGTTGAACAAAGACAAGGTGATTTTGTCTTGTGTTATCACAATAATTATTCCAGTATACTGTAAACTGTTATTATCACCTCAGAAAACTTTGGCATTTGAGAAGAAATGAAGCAGAGTTAAAGTATTTTGCTCTTATTTACATTTGAGACTCTGCCTTTCCTCATGAGCAGTGGCTAATAACTCCAGTGACCAATGAAATTAAATTTTATACTCGATACGAAACAGTAATGTGGATAATTTTATGATATTTAATATAAAATAATTCCAAATGATCTGGATGCATTCATTTGTCATAATACAAAATATTTCTGTTCATTAAAATTATGTACCAAAACAGCGATATACTGTATGTGATATGAATGAGCAACTTGTGATACTTCCTGATGGCACAAGGAAACATCCTGGAATGAACAATGCATTATAGTGATTGTTTTAATGACAATGATTATGGTGCTGGTGAGTGTCATGTGAAAATAGGTGCTGAGAGGGAAAATCAGGACAGTGATGTCAGTTTGAGAGTTGAAGTAAGAGTGACCACACCTATGATGATGACAGTAAAAAATGACAAGATATCATATACAGTAGAATGGAAGAATGACAACACCTGTGAGGAAGAATAATATAAACAGTTAATAGTGTACAGTCAGGAACAAAAGTCCTGTCGCTTCTTCTACCGGTTCACCAACCCTGAGATTCAGACTCATGAACCCGAAACAGAAGTTACTGATGCATTATTCTGTCCATAAATGGTTCAAATTAAAGAGTGAATCTTGGGGTTCATGGAGCAGCAGAAGAGGCAACAGGACTTTTGTTCTTTACTGTACAAGTAACAACATCTGTGCAGACGAGGAATCAAGTCACAACTGTTGTATCAGAAGAAAAAAGAATGACAACCATTATCAGTGAGATAGAAGATATGAAAGGAAAGGAAAGTGTGATACTAGAGTGGTACTGTAATAAGAATGATTGTCATTAGAACACAGGCAAGAATAAAAACTCATATTAGTGAGCAATAAGAATAACAAGTTAGAGACTGGTGTGAGTGACAGGTAATGCAGTCAGAGATGCAGGACAACGCCACAGTCCACGACGGTCACTTTCCTGACATCACTGAGGCTGACTGCTGACCTCACCACCCCTAGGCCACTCTCCACCTGACCAATGACAGCCTGACCTACTCTTGCCGAGTTGACTCTTGTGATGATGTAGAACTGTGCTGCGGTTGCATCATCTTCCTTCCTCCCTGATACTGTCCCCTCAGTCCATGTTCCTGTGCACTGTGATGATGCCAGGCCCTTCTGTAGTGCAGCTCCTCCATTACCATTGTTATGCTCATAGTCTCCTGCTAGCACACCCTCCTCTTGGACATGTCTAAATGTCCCAAGAAAGTGGGTGTTAGCATAGGTAGGGCCCTGCTGAGCTGTACAAAGAGCCAGGAACTGTTGGGCCCAATTATTAGTGTTTGTTTGGGACAATCGTATGTAGATTCGACCTCCAGATGAACCTTCCCAAGCCAAGTCCAGAAACACCAATGTAGAGTTGGGGTCAACCACACTCATCAACTGACTGTGCTGTAGGATATATATCAATTTTGTTAGTATTCCTCACCAATATAGGAATGTAAACATCACATTACCCTTACTCCCAGTGATGCTTACCACTTCCCTGCACTGTGGGAAATACACTCGCTCTGTACAACACATGACGTGATGAACAACATGTCACTTTTAGGACGTTCAGAGAGAGAAATTGACACACTGTAAGCATTAGTGTCTACTACTGTACACTGTCACTGTTTTCTCACTAGCATTATGGAGTCTTTTATCGTCTGGGGATAACATGACCTTAACCTGGCTGTTATGAATCATTTATACACAATGAATGGGAAATATGTCATCACCACTAGAGGCAGAAGCTTGGTATTCACTCAAAAAGACTGAGAGGGTCTAAAACTGTCAGTAAGAGAAGCAAGAGGATGTAAATTAAATTAGCTGACATACTCTCTTGACTCTTGTACCACTTTATACACAGCTTGGATCATGACACACATACTTCAGCAAAAACTGGGATATACCAACACATACAGTATAGTGTTGAGGCTCTACTAACCTTTACAGTTTTAGCTTCAGGAGGTACAGGCTTATCCTGTAGGTAGTGGAGGCATATTTTGTCTCCTTGCAGTGAGATCTTAGCTGAGTATACTGGTTCATCCTCCACCACAGCAAACATCTGGCCTAACAGCAATGAGTTTTTCAGGGAACCAGGAAAGTTAAGCAGAAAGTCAACCTGGCAAAAATACATTTTGATAATTACTGTACCAGCATAAATCATATCAGGCTCATGACTAAATGGTGAGTTATATATTGTACTGGATCAACAGAAATTTAACATGATTTTTGTTTCCATCTGTATATGGACATTTTACAGATGCAATATACAATCATTGTTCACTCATAAACACACTGATTTTTGTGGTGATACGATGCCTTCAGAAGACAGCCCCTTATAATAATATTTTATACATACAGTTCATTATTTTATATTAATTTTTCTACTATAATATAAGATGGCTAAGCAGATGCTACTTGTCTGATTCTTAACATTGAGCAACTTGACAGGATGCAGTACTGGTTCACTGAAAGACTGTTTTATCATCCACAAATATATGTGTGTGTGTGTGTGTGTGCTCATTATATTATTGAAAGTGTAAGGTCTAGTCCAGTGCACAAGATGGAAATCCAATCCTCCTGAGAGAAGGTGACTTGGAGAAGATGGGGCACAAATGTAGTACTGTACTGTACTTTACTGATGGATGTTGGCCAATATCAAACTAATCATCAGAGGGACACTATTCACTACTGACCTGTACCAGTATAGTCACTAAATTACAGTACATTAATGACTTTACTGGTTCACTATAATTCTCCAACTTACATTGACATCAAACTTTTCTTTGGGTCTGATTGCCTGTGGTGTGTTCTCGGTCAGTGAAGAATGACCTATAATCAGGTCTACCTTGTCTTGAATGGTCTTCCCAGAGTCTATAATGACCGGGGTAGCCACAGCGCCTCCAGACTTTCTGTTTATCACCTCCAGCCCCTTCTTGGTAGATTCTCGCACCTGTTACAGTAGACACCAACATTAAAATAATGGATGTACGCACACTGCCAGGAGGACATTGAAGCCACAGTACCATAAACTTTATTCCAACACAGCCAAGAATATGACTTACCAGATATAGTTTACTGTATAAAGTTATGTTAGATAAAATAAGGCATATTAACCTAACTAACAAACTGCACTAAAATGATATTAATTAGGAAAAATGTGGCCAATCATTACTACTGTGTTAGTCCTAATCAGGAGATGGATATAATATTATAATACATCTTAAGTCATAAATAATTTACCGGGTGAACATAGTTGATGTTCTTTGAGACTATACATCTAAATCATTTATGAAACATCACACTCAACTGACAAGCTCAGCTAAAATAATAATTGTTGTTAACTCATAGTCTGCCCCCCCCCCCCAGACTGGTCATATACACTGTGACACACACACTGTACATCACCATATAACAGCTGCCAATTGCTTTGTTTGCTCTTGCTGGTTAGATCCTCACAGTCACTAACTCTGTCCCTCTTCCTCTCCAACAAGATTCACACGACTTATGCCACTCAAATACTCAGCCTTTTCCAGGTTCAGGTTTCAGTCTCAGGACCTCTTTAATTAACGATAAATATGTTTTGTTTTGTTCGTGTTTTTGCAAATTTTGTTCATAAATCTTATCTCACTTCACAAAGCAATGTGATATTTAATTTATCTGTGGTAGGCTGTTACAGAATTTTGTGCATTGTCAAGTTTGTACCTTAAGTACAGTATTGATCATGAAATAACTCCCAAAGGTCAGGAAAGGTTTATTTAGATATTGATTGGTGTGTTTTTGTGGCTGGCTGATCCAAACAAATGCAGTACAGTATTTTCAATTAAAATTAAGACACTGTATTGAGGATGATTTTGTTTACATAAGATAAGTACAATATACATTTTTTCCATGCCAATACAATACAGCACTAGAACACTCACCACAGCCATCATGTACCAGGACCGACTTCCAGGCTTTTCAAAATTCTTGTTAGTTTTCAAAGGTCTGCCGGGCTTTTTCAAGTAACAACACTATTTTCTTTTTCCAGGCTTTTCGAGGCATACTACTCTTCAAGATAGCTACATACTGACTTCAATTTCTTTCCTTGTTTCACTGCTGCCCAATCTCGATATAGGGGCAGAGGATCCCCCATATTCAACTGTCTGGTCAATCTGCATCCTGCATTAATTCTTATATCTGACCTCTGTGTCTTGTCTTGTCTTGCTCCCTAGCTGCCCACACTGCATACTTACTGTAATAATTGCTGCTTCTGACTTCTCAATGTTCATATCTGTTAATTTTCTTTATGCATAACTGGTTAATTAACATGCAGAAGAATACTAATGATAAATGATGATCTCCGTAAGTGTACATAATAAATACAGTACAGTACTGTATATAATTTATTTTGTGAGAACAAAACTAAAAGTTTGTATTTATATAACTGCTCTGGACTCTGCTACTGGGTATTTAATATTTGACTTTATAGAGTTGCACTATTAGTAGTTTGGAGACGATAATACAGAATAATGCCAATCTGTCTTGAAGTTCAGCACACATCACAATCATTATAGTCATGCAGAAAACTTACATGTTTTGTATTGTATCCTCTAAATTCAAACAGGGAAAGGAATTATTCTTAAGCTTACCAATGCAGAAGTATGTACAGCTTTGACACTGGGGAAGCACTTCTGTATGGCATAGTTCCAGTCTTGTGCTCCAGTGCCACAGACATCAGCATCATCAATGGCAGTATCAACCTCCTGGGCAGAGTTGGCTTGTGTCAGGCACTCCAATAAGGCTTCCAGCCGTCTCTCCTCATCTATTCCAGCTCTACGCATGTCTACCAAACTGCAGTGCTCCTCCTCCAAGCTCTGTAATGCTTCCCTGTTCTGCTGAGCAACTTTGTCAAGCAGTTCTATGAGACCACGATGGTCTTCTTTCCACTTGAGAAGATGTTCCTCATATTTATTCATTTGAGATCTTGACTGTTGGCAGTTAGTGATCCATACACGGACAGTGCTCTCTTGTTCACTTCTCAGTGACTCAAGTTTCTTGCTGATTCCTTTGGGACTGTCTCGCCTTGGTCTTTTTGATGTTGTTGATGAGATGCGAACAGCCCTGAGTGATTTGATAAGTGCTTCAGCCAAATAGCTGATTGGAAACTCGGTTGCAAAAGTGGCATAATGTTCCTTGCGGCAGTTAGGGCAGGTGAGGCTGCCATTTCCAAGTGTATCAGTTATACAATGAGTGCAAAAGGTGTGGCCACACGGAAGATTACGAGGTCGACGTAACTCATCATCATATTCGGTGAAGCACACCTTACATTCCAGGGGGTTATCTTCATCCTGTGGGGCAGTATAACATTAGAGGCAGCTACACCACTAACACTTGTTATAATCACCACTGCCCTTGTTTAGCATAGTGGGTATCCTTCCCTCCTACCCAGAATGCTTTGCATGTTTCAACATTCACACTGAATTTGTTCATGTTCAAGGAGAGACTTCATGAGTGATTTTTTGGATTTATCACAAAACTTCCCAGAATAATCTTTGAAAATATTAGCAGCAAAACAAAAAACTCCATCAAGTGAAGTTCCATCAACTTTCCATACTGAAGCAGTGGAAGTATAAATACTGCTAACATTAAGGCAGTGTTGTAGAACAGTCACTGACAAAAATTCACTCCTTGGGATGAAACTGAATCACAGGAATGGGTCTCCAAACTTACATACCCTGACTGTCATCTGGTGCAGTTGTGTTGTTTTATTTCATTTGAGGTCAATACTGCTTCACTTTGGGAGGGAGCAAAGTTTTGACCCTGACTGTACTGTACATTCTTAATACAATGTGAAAAAAACAAAAAACTCTCCCTTTATCAAAATAAAAGATTTGTGCAAGCATAAAGGAATGCCACCATGACACTGAAATATAAAGACCATTGCAACATCTTATATTAAGGAAAACTGTGAAAGCCAAGGTAAGAAAACACGACAACTAAGATGACAGAGTGGACCAATGCACCACCATCATACACCAATATCTTATGATGACAATATCTGATGGGTTTTTGTTAAAGGTAATCAAATCACCCACCAATATTCCTAGAAATAAACAAGGACTCACTGTGTATGTACCGGTGTGTCAGTTATTACCACCAAAAGTAAACATAAGTCACCTAACATTATAGGGTAGAATTTGGACAAATTTAGCAGCAAATATTAGAAACATCAATGTTTTTTTTTTTTTTGCAGATGACAAATACTGTACTGTACTGTATATGAATTTAATTTATTTTTGCAACAAATGAAAAGTCACTAAATGTTTCAGATCATTTTTCTGGCTAAAACTTATAATAATTACCCAACATGTTGTTAGTGTTTTTACTGCATTATACAAATGTTAAATATATCTCCAGAGATTACTTTATGCTACATCATGTACACTACAGTAATTGTATAAGAATAATACATCCCCCCATATCACAGCAGTAGGCTCTGGCCCGGAGTGTTGAGTGTGCTGGTAACATCAAGGTAGCTTACTGAGGCCCTACAGTAGAGCAGTAAAGGTCATTCTTTAGGGGAATTATTAAGGATCAAATATTAATAACCAAAGTGTTAATATTACTAAGACAACTCATCATAGAGATTTAATGAGACAATGTATAAAACAAATAAAAATGGTACAGTGTAATAGTTCCTCCATGATCTCTTATTAAACTATGAAATTAAACAAATAAATAAGGTTAATAAAATAAAATGTTAACATTATCAAAAGGCCATGTTGCTTATTGGATATACTGTAAGCACTATAGTTGAGTACAGTGAGGTGTTGACATTAACACTTGAGTCCTTCAGTACAGCCTACACCATCAGCCTTACACTGAATATAAAACCAAAAACATAAACTAGTCTTTAAAAGGAAAAATAAAATGCTGAAATTGTAGAGCAGAGAATCTTAAGCCTATTTCAGACATATTCTTTATTTGATTACCATGACTGTAACTTGTGGTGCTGGACGAAGTGGGAATGAACACTGGCACTCCCGCTGTGGTTGTACATCACACTACAGGAGCTGAGCCACAGATAATAACTAGCACAGCTGCTATATGGAGGCACAGGTATTATACGGTACAGGCTCAGACGTCAGCCACAAGTGATGATACCACCAACACTGTTGAATAAAGACTAAATCAGATACATGTATTACAATCTTGAGAAATAATACAGAGATGGACAGTATTGTTTTATCATCAAGGTTGATAGCTCATAATTCTGATGCTGTAAATGTTTTGCAACAGACAAGTGAAATTTGAATTCTCCTTAATTTGTTGCATTTACAAATAAAGTACTATACCGTACCTGTTAATTAATACAGGTCCACTTAAAAAGTAAACTATAGTAGTGCTAATATTATATACTTCAGTAATTATAAAAGCAAATTTTATTGGTATTATTGCATTTTCACACCCCACATTCCTACCACTAATCTATTAACATATTTGAATAAGACGTCTAATTGTAAAATAATTTTCATCTACGGTATTACATTACCGTCGCAAATGTATAATAATGGAGATAGCATATCCAAAATTTTCTCTATTTTCTTCCATTAATCTTCCGCCATTATCGCCTACCTCACTTCCCACACTGCGTGTCTCCTTCATAAATCATCACTCGCTTGCATTCCTGTACACGTCACGCGGCCAATCAAAAGCTTTTTTTTTTTTGCAACCAATTAAAATTAATTTGCGGTATTTTTGGCCCAATCAAATTCGATTTTTATTTTGGGTCTCATATTTCGAAATTCAAATTCATTTCCGACCATAGAAGTCTGCGATGGGTGTCACTTAAATTATATGGAGCTGATTGCAAGTTTTTGGGAAGAAACTATAGCATATTTTTGATCGCATGGTGTTCTTCCAACCTCAGTAAAGTGTGTTAAGTGCAAGACTGAATGTAAATATCACAAAGACCAACATAAGTGACGCTGTGTAAGACCCAACGACGAACAAGAGCCAGGCCAATAAGGTAAGAAATAGGTGATTCCATCATATGGCGAGTCAGTTAGGTTAGGTTAGGTTTGGCTTTTGTTTCTCTAGTATTTTTTGGTGTATTTTTTATTCGCTTAACCATTATTTTTTTTTCGGACCATAAATGAAGGTCATATTCGATGTAAACACAAATACACTAGAACAATATATTGTTGACTTTCTAACAGTTTGGTGAGCTTATGCAAATTTACCATTTTATTGTATATTTAGGTTAACTGCTTAAAGTTGTCAAAACCAACCTTGTTTCCTAGGTCTAGTTGGTACACAGGCTTGCCATACTGTACTCTTCTACTCGTGTCATATAACAACTATCTGAACAAAGACTGATTAGGAACCTTCTTACAATACCTTACTATCAGGGGAAGTGTTCATAAATTAAATATATAACTCTTAAACACCAAAGACTATCATCAGTGCTTCAGGTCATTGTACCTAGACAAAGGGTACCCAGTAAAACACTATATCTCTTAACAACTCGTACATATACATTCTCAGAACTATGAAACTATTGGTCTCTAAATATTCATCTCCGTAAAATAATGTAGACAAGGATTTAATTAATGAATAAAGAAGCTTAATGATGTACCTACGTCTTCACTGGAGGAGGACTGAGGAGAGGTGTTGTCCCAAGGCTCTTTTATTTACCTCAAACTTATTACTTCCTACCACAACACAAACCTTTTAATAAGTAAAATTTGTAATAATAAAATATATATACATTTATTTATTACATTAAAGTGAAAATATCCTTAATATATTCCTGGCCAAATATTTCACCCACTGATTCGAACAAAGTTAACCTGAACAATAGACTTAGTAATATTGTTATTATTTGTCTAGTGTCCTTTTATTAATAGTTAAACAATTCTCTAAAGACTAATTACACTTGAGATTATTAACACTATCCTTTATATCTCTATCGCTTGTGAAGAACATAGACTTATACCCCAGCCATCTACATTATTAACCTGTATAACTTGTCATCTATCTATCTATCTATCTCTTCTATCCATCTATCTATCTCTTCTATCCATCTATCTCTTCCATCTATCCGTGTGGAGGTAGTTATAGGGTGGTGGCCCAGACAACACAGGCCTGGGCAGCTCACCTGGGTGGCCGCTCGTGGGAGGTGTACTTCAGTCCTCATGTATTTTACAGCTCCATAGCCTCCAGTATGCCCGACATAAAAGCCACACCTCTTGGTTAGTGTTTATTATGGTCTGAAGGATAGGCCTATCTTATATTTATCTTAAACAACAGTATCTACCGTACAGTACAAGTGAATATAGATGATTATCCTATATCATTTCACCACTACTCAGCCCGTAGTTTGTTACTTTATGGTCCAGTGTTAGTACAGGAGTGCCTGGAGATAACCTGTCATGTTTGTGAGTGCCAGGCCAGGCTAGCTGTTTATACATGGATAATGATGCAGTTTACAGCAACCACAGAATTCTGGAAATTCACTACACCCAATTGATGGAACTATTTTTTCTATGATCATTTTCTTATATTACACTTCCATCGCAAATTTACAATAAGGAAGTTATTGAATTTTTAAAATAATAAAATTAGAGCACCTTTTGTCCCTCTGCTGTTGCTCAAATGGTGTGTGTTCGTACTTTTGAGTACCTCCCACACATGTGCCGGGGGGCGGCAAATTAAATAGGGGATGGCCGCAGCCAATCAAATCTAGGGCCGGGGGCGGCAGCCAATCAAACCCAATAGGAAATCTAAAATTTTGATTCAACCCATTAGCGTTCAATATTCGGCTTGGGTGGTAAGATGCGAGACATTTTTAATCAGTTGCAACATGGAGCAATTACGTGCTGGGTATGATTTCGATTATTGGAAGTTTATCGTATTATTTCATTAAAAAAATATGGAAACTTTGGAGAACAGAGGAACCCACGACGCATTCTGTCCCTGACTCAGTAGGTAAGAAATACCCTTATGGTAATTTATATTCTCGGGGAGGCTGACCACGCAACTCTAGGGTTATTACATAGTGTTTGGGGGTGCGGCGGTGGGGGATTAGGTAAGGTTTAGTTTGGTTATAGTGTAAGGTATAAGTTAGCAAGCACAGAGTACTGTACCGGGAATTCAGAACATGCAATCCATACAACTATTCGGGGGCTAAACCCAAAACGAGTTATTTCCGATAAAAACGAATGTCAGATTTGAACCAATTGCATAAAAAAACCATCAGAAAATAAATTTAATCAGATTCTTTGGTTGCTGTAATCTGCAGTTTTATTCGTACCTGGGTAGTACCTGGACTCTGTCCCCGGAAAAAGTTAAAGTGGGTCCCTTAGGCATGGACAGTGTGGATACAGCACACTGTATACTATGCCTTCGGTTCACAAGGAGGCAGTATGGCAGGTACTGCTCTCGACTGCCTTTACTTCCCCTAGTTGTAAACTTAGGTACCCATTTACAGCTGGATAAACTAGGAGTGCCTGTGAATTGAACCACTGATCCCTGGAATAGGAGGTGAGCGCTGTATCCACTTGAACCGCTGCACTCCCCGAATAACCAAAAAATTTACAAAACAGATAAATTTGTAGTTTTGACCAACCACGGCTCTTGAGTTGAACAGTGTGTTTTTCTGATGGTTTAAACAACTTTATGACACACTTCTTCTCTTACTGTTCCCTCACAAATGAACTAAAGATGCACAACCTCCTAACCCGGGAGCTCTGTCCCCCTGGACCCCCAGAACTGTACAGTATATCCGAGTTATTTGTGAGGGAAACGTAATGGAAATTCAAATTGGCCCCACGGGAAATATATCGGAACAGTTGCAGGATACGACCACCAGAGGTTGAGGGCAGTTTCTGGATCTCATTGCCACGAGGATCTCCAGATTTGTTCTTTGCTTCCTCACATTGTTTGACCTTAGATCTGTTTGGTAGGCTTCCTCCCATTGGGGGTGAAAGTAAGCATAGCATTTGGAGTCTTTGGCTGCCTTCTCCCTCACTACCTGTCTCTGATGGGTCCTTCTATAGTAAGTGGTCTACCAAGCTAGAGTTGTGTCTACTGGGATGTTTACACTGTCGCATCGATTAATCTAACCTAACTTAACTTAAGTTAGGTTAGGTTAGGTTAAGATAGGTTAGGTTAGGTTAAGATAGGTTAGGTTCGGTTAAGATAGGTTAGGTTAAGTTAGGTAAGGTTAGGTTAAGATATATTAAGTTAGATTTGGTTAGATTAGGTTCATAGACACTACAGAGTAAATATCCCGGTAGACCATCTCCAGCTCGGTTGACCACATAGCACCCTCTGATGTATGTGAATACTGTATGCAGATTAAAACCAACAGCAATGTGTCATGAAACTTTCACCAATAAATATTTGATAATATTTTGCCACTCTGGTGAGAAAGTGTCTGGTACGGTAGTTAAATTTGGTCACTATAAATTGTACAGTATATTTAATAGATAAATTATGTCATTGAATACACAGGTGCAGGCCAGGATGTGGGGCGAAGCTGTATCCTGGTGACCATTGGAGGCAAGAACATCATGCTGGACTGTGGCATGCACATGGGGTAAGTGTTACTCATATTTAGAATATTTATAGATCTTAAGGATATATTACTGCATTACTTTATCTGTGATGCCTGACTTCATTGAGGAACTTCCCCCTGAGGCAGTGACCACAACAGATGAGCCTCCATGCTGCTCGCTTATTTTATATATATTTTTTTTTACCTTCTCCAATCTCTCTTTAATGTATTCTGTTATAAAATGGTCTGAAGGAAATGAAACTGCTTTGTAGAATGACAATGAGAGTAACTCCTTTCTGACCCCCACAGGAATTACAAAGGGACGGGGCAGAGCCTTAGAGTTGTTTCTGCAGGCAAAGGGTTAGATGATCTTTTCTATATACTACAGTACTTCATTTATTTTGATGTGAAAAATACTGGTTTAAAGGACCTCAGAAATAACTTTATCTAACCAGTCTCTGAGGAACAGTGAGAGTTTGTGTGAATGGTTCAATAATGCTCTTGATGAGTTAATGAATCACCAAAATTGTTCTGTAAAATCTTCAAGAGTTACCGTACATCATTTTTTCTCATTGTTTTAGGTACACTGATGACCGTCGGTTCCCAGACTTCTCTTACATCACTGAAGGGGCCTTGACTGATCACTTAGACTGTGTTATAATAAGTCACTTCCACCTGGACCATTGTGGAGCATTACCTTATATGACAGAAATGATTGGTTACAATGGCCCGATCTATATGACACAGCCCACCAAAGCTCTGTGTCCTGTTCTCCTGGTAAGTATATGTCAGTGGGGCATCTGACTTTAGATACAGCTCTGATTTGTGTATTTTTCCTTCAAGAATGAGGAAAATATGTTAATAAGAATATTGTTTCGCTTTAATTGTATTTTTTTTTTTTTTTTTTTTACTCAAATTCACCATGATGTTATGAGGTACAGTTATGGGTTGTACCTGTGTTAGTGAGTAAAGTCTTGTGGGGGAGGGGTTCAACATCACAAACCATCCTGTTCTGGTTTTACCCAACATCTGCCATCAGGTCATCTCAGCTAACCCATGCAAGTGTGGAAAATGGCCATAGAACATTGATGATGTTGAGGATAGTTATCGTTTACAAGAGAAGCCGAGTTGTGACAGTCTGGTGAAATTTGTTGGGAACATTAAGCACTGAACAATGAACTGTACTGTTCTTAGGTGTTGTTAGAAACATTCTTCTAGAAACAAGTAAATATTATATCATTAACAGTGTTGTCCTTATCATGTTTTAATAGTCACCAGTAAGGACTGATATAAAGTCTCAACTACAGTACCTGTACAAGCTTTGCTGAGCATGACTAATGACCGCAGAGTTAAGCTGAATGGGGAAGTGAGCACCTGTGAGCCTTGTTTTCTCTGAAGGGTTGATGTAACAGAGGAACCTAACTGTTGTCTCAGTTGTTGAGAAGCAGTTGTCTTGTTTACTGACTTCTGCTGTTGATGATAACATTTACAGACCCATTGTTATATGAGGGATGGATCCAGAGATGGTTGGTGGGCGGTTACTGTTATGTGTTGTGTCCTTGGGCAGGATAGATGCTCTGGCATAATAACTGTTGTCATATGTGTAACCTTGTGACCCCAATGCATTTTTTCTCTTGTCTTGGATACATTACAGGACCTGCTCATTTAACCATACTGTACTGTACTATGCTCTCCATAATACCTGTAATGTTTCACTCTTTTTGCTGTAAAATGTCTTCTTCCTTTATATTACTCTCATAAAATTATTTTGTTTTGTTCTTAAAAATAAAAGCAAAGTCCTCATTGTAGTGGTACAATAAATCATGTTGGATATTGTTTTGTCAACAGGAAGACATGAGGAAGGTCGCTGTAGAGAGGAAGGGTGAGACAAACTTCTTCACCTCCAGTATGATCAAAGACTGCATGAAGAAAGTCATCACAGTCTCACTTCACGAGACAGTACAGGTAAACTTTGGAATCTCGTTCTCATGTATATGGTACGTGACTTATTCGTGGTTTATTTATTTCCGGTATTTATTTTATTTTTTAAGAAGACTTATTGTTAGCGTGAATTAATTTATAACTACCTTGAACAGTACAGTGGTTACATTACAGATCCTGACAGATTACTCCCCTATCCCACTTTAAGATTCCAAGCCCTAATCAGAAAATGGTAGAAACTGAAGCAGCCACTCAAGCCAACAGCTAAACACACTCACTGCCTTCATGGGAATCTCTTGCATACAGGCCCAAAGCACCACTGATTCCACACAGGAAAATTTGGGGCCCTTGTTAAATTTGGTGGGCAGTAACTGGGCTCTAATTTTAAGGTAAAAATGCCTCTAAATTTTGTGAGCTGAATAAATATTTTTTGTGGACGCTGCACTTTGATCATTGACTTGTGCAGTACAGTACTCAGGAGATTGGCAGCTATAGACTCTTGGGTCTTGTTCTCATCAATGTCAAGGGTCTGCTGTTGGGTCGGAAATATCCTACGTCTAGGATTCTCGTTCTTTATTGGATTCTGGTGTTTAATCCTGTCCCTTAAGTGGATAGTCCTAGCAACTGTGGGGCATCAGCCTGCTAGCTTGGTGATGCACTACCAGACTCACCTGTTGCATGCTTGGTTATAGAATGAGATGTCAGGATCATTTTGTCTTTTTTTACACATAAAGTCGCAGATTACTAATTCAAAATTGGTTTATTTTAGAGGAATGATATGTGGTTCATTTGGTCCTCATTTTTCAGACTATAACAAATTTGTTTGCTCAAAATCCCTTTAACTATGAGTTGTAAATTACAGTTTAATTTTATTTTGAACAGATTGACGGTGAGCTGGAGATTAAAGCTTATTATGCAGGACATGTTCTTGGAGCTGCCATGTTCCACATCCGAGTGGGGTCACAGAGTCTTGTATATACAGTGAGTATACAGTGTGTACACATATACAGGATTAAATGTGTTTGAAGTAAGTATTAATATACAGTAGTATAATGTAGACTGTTGGACTTGATGATGAACTCAGGAAAATTTGTGTTCATGATACTGGAAGTGGAGGATTCTTGTATCAGAAGGTCTTGGGCTGAATTCATGGATAACCTTTATGTGTGGCCTTGTACTGAAGAGGAACGTGTGAGTTTAAGATTACTTTTGGGAGAGTTGTTAGTCAGCCAGATTCATGGGGTAGACTATAAAACACACACACAACACTCTGCCCACTCCAGCATCTTCCTTCATCTGGGCTGTCTTCATTTCTTTCGAACTTAATGTATGAGAATGGAGGAAAACAGTCAAGTAAGATGTTTAAACAGATAGAAAGTAAACTTGTACATGTACTAGTGTTCCCTGGAAAATGGTCCCCCACATATTCTAATGCAGTGTACATTTTCTTTCCAGGGTGACTACAACATGACACCAGACCGTCACCTTGGAGCTGCATGGATTGACAAATGTCGCCCTGATCTTCTCATATCAGAGTCAACTTATGCCACAACAATCAGAGACTCAAAGCGCTGCAGGTAACCCATTGATGTTTCCCTCCATGGCGTACGGTACAGAGATAACATAATTACACTGTACTGTTATTTGTTTCTCTAACCATTTTCACTAGACACATGTGCCAATGCAATGCACCTTGTCAATTAAATTTCAAGTACTAGGTCAGCAGTGGTGGCGAAAGAAGGATTTTCTCCATCCGCTTGGTCACCTTTATATTGTTGAGCAGGTTTGGGTATGTGGATGAGACCAGTTGGGCCAAGAGGTGCATGAGGGGAGGAGAGCCAGGGTCCAGGCCAAGGATGATAGATGGAGAGGTTGTATGAAATAACATTTTTGTTGAGAACCTGACAAGAGAGACTGTGCAGCATGGAGAGTTGCCATCAGGTAATTGCAGTTAACTCATGCAGTCGTGGAAAGTGCCCATGAGACGGTGATGATGTAGTTGAAGGATATTTCTCAGGTGGAAGTTATTTTTGTGCACCATAATCAAAATGAGAACTTAAGATTAAATGTATTTTCATTAAACTTTTTCTATGGGATTGAACCCGTGCGAGCTTATTTTAACCTGCATGAATCTTTTGTGGCATATATGGTGGTAATGGTGTTGTGTATGGTGGTGTATGGGGTGATGTGTGGTGTATGAGGTGAGGTGACAGCAACCTGTGGTGTAATGATTAGCCTGCTCGTCTAACAAGTGGGTTGTTGGCCTGGGTTTTGTTCTCTGGCAGGATGATACTATTGGTAAAAAAAAAATATGCCATTTGTTTCTGGATGTTGATTGATTTGCAGATTGTGTCCGTTGGTAATGGTTAACCAGGGTGTGGTTGTTGTGTTAGTGACAGTTTCTGCACCTTGGTGCCGGCCAGCCTAGGACACAAGGGGTAACTATTATGGTGTCTGGTGTGATGGTGTTAGTTTGTGTGGTATGTGGTGTTAGTTTGTGTGGTATGTGGTGTTATATATATCATGGTCTTCAGTGTAGGAGTCATATGCTGTGCCCATGGTCAGGAATGTTGTCATGCCACATGACCTACTTATAGAAATGGGACGAGTAAAATGTTATAAAACATAAAGAAAATTATTATTCAGGCACAAACTTACTTATTTGGGAAGAATATTATGTTCTCTTAGATAGTTAATTCTTTATATCTAACTAGTGTGAAGTTTCTCTTCTTTTACAGAGAACGTGATTTTCTCAAGAAAATCCACGACTGTGTAGACAGGGGCGGGAAGGTGCTCATTCCAGTGTTTGCCCTCGGCCGTGTACAAGAACTGTGCATTCTACTTGACACATACTGGGATCGAATGAATCTCAAAGTGCCCATATATTTTACAATGGGTCTTGCAGAAACAGTGAGCTCCATTTATTTTAATTAAAAAATGTTACAGTACATGATGGAGAAAGTTTCATACTGTACACAGAAGACTTAATGGTACTGTTCTTTTATGTTGAGAGAGCAGTGGTTAAACTAGACAAATTTAAAACAGTTAAACCAGTTGTTCTTTTGGGGATAAAACTGTATTGTTTTTAATCAGTTGTTTACCATCTCATATTCCATTACAAATGCTTCAGGAATCATCTGAAAATTTATATGAATAAGTTAAGTGGGCAGCTACGTAATACTGCAGTTTTCTTATACTTTATCACATCTTTCTTCCAGGCTAACAAATACTACCGGATGTTCATCACTTGGACAAACCAGAAAATCAGACAAACATTCGTACATCGTAATATGTTTGACTTTAAGCACATAAAACCTTTTGATAAATCTTACATGGATAACCAAGGCCCAATGGTGGTGTTTGCTACCCCTGGTATGCTGCATGCTGGGCTCTCCTTAGCAGTGTTTAAGAAGTGGGCACCTAACTCAAACAATATGGTGAGTATGATGATAACTCTTAACAAACACTCAACATACTGTAACATCCTCCCTTGCTGTGTACAGTTGCTTGCATATTATAGTCTTCAAAATCTATTCTTCTTACTTATCTTAACATTATAATTACAGTACAGTACATAGATAGTAAGAAGTAATGGGTTAACTTAAGAGGTGAGGTAGCTTTGTGTTAAATGAATGGGAGTCATAGTACCTTTAGTGTGAGTACGTTAACTGGTTGTTGCAAGAAAAGTTGTATCTTGTTGTAGTAGAATTGTAATCATCAAATACTGTAACTTTAATGTTGATGTATGTTTTCAGGTAATCATGCCAGGATATTGTGTTCAGGGGACAGTGGGTCACAAGATCCTCAATGGTGCAAAGAAGGTGGACTTTGATAACAGACAGAGCGTTGAGGTCAACCTGACAGTGGAAGTAAGAACTAAAAGATTTATTTGTGTATATATTTGTTATACGGGTACAGCATTATGACGGTCACAGTGGACGGCCGGGTCGCCTCCTTATGCTCTAGTTTTTGTTCTCACCGATGACATTGTTAGGTCCACTACTGAGGGGGGGGGGAACATTGTCTGGAGTCAGGGTGCCTTACCATGCATCCACCTCAGAGTCTTCCTGTGTTTTCCCTGTTCTTTGGGTCGTCAACAACTGATTTAGAGACATAACCAAGAAAACAATTGACACACTTTTGTTGGTGTGACCTATCTTGAGTGTACACCTGGTGAGATGAATTTAGGATATGATATAACTAATTAAATCATCTAAAATATATACCAGCAGATATTAATATTAAGTGTTGGTATCATGCTAAGTGAGAATTATTTATTTCAGTTTACCATGACATGAGCTCAACTTTACCTTCTTGTAATATAAATCAAGTCAAACAGTCAAGTGTTTGTGTAGGTTTATGAAGCCGAGATGTTTCTGGTCTTCAGATTGATTTATTGTTGTTTAAACGGATATATTGGTGTTGTCTCTTGATGTCGACTTGTTTTGTTATTTTACCTTTTGATCTTTTAAAAATGTTTTATTACTGTATTACTTGAGTGAAACCTTTAGTTAATGGATTACTGTATATGGAGAGAGAAGTCCCTTTTATAGAGGTTTCACTGTAGTGTTAAGAGGAACAATATTAACTTGTTCTCACCACCAAGTCTAGAGGTACAGAACTTCACCAATTATTTTAGTTTATAAGATAAGCATCATCATGTATGTGTGTTTTATTATCACTATTTACTGAAAATCATTGTATCACTAGCAACACACACACACACACACACACACACACACACACACACACACACACACACACACACACACACACACTAATTGTGGTAAAGAAAGGGTTCTCTCTCAAGCATTCTATATCCTTGAGGCTGTACTGTACTGTATTACTAAAAGAATTTCCCTTTTTCTCTCCACAGTATATGTCATTCAGTGCTCATGCAGACGCCAAGGGAATCATGCAGTTAATTCGACACTGTGAGCCCAAGAATGTGATGCTTGTTCATGGTGAGAATGCTAAGATGGATTTCCTCAGACAGAAGATCATGCAGGTATGTTGTAGCTTTTAATAACACTCTGTCTCTTGTTTTGCTTGTTTCTCTTATCAAACTGTTTATACCATAACAAGTCTGATTCACTAATTCACAAAATTTTACTTCAAATAATTTGAGTGAATCGTCTCCCACTTGTATATGTAGTAATATTCAAGCCATTTTTATTGGATTGGAATATTTAGCTAACTCTGGCCAATTTTATTTCTCAGGAAAAAACTCTTGTTTTATGCTTGTAATTTTACAGAAGTTAAAATTAACAAGATTTGCTGTACTAAAAAAATACAATTCATAACAGTGTTTTAACTCCAGTCTCATGAATTCCTGTGAAGTTCAGTCATACTCGTCGTACATGTTTCTTCCTAACTCATAACCTTAGATACATCAACTGGTACTATGTACTTACATTATATCTTGAGAAAAGTAAATACTTGGTTCTTAGTCGATCCAAAAGTGACTTGGGAGCACTTTTATTACCTAACTTATCACAGGACCCTGTCTAAGGACTTAAGGACCCTCTAGTAAGTTGTCCTATGCTTCAAGCTCTGCCAGGAAGAGGGATTTTAGGATCAATTATTTGTTTTTTGGGAGAACCTGCTGCCAGGCAGTGAGGACATCTTCCCTTAAGGATGAGGCCTACTTAGCTGAAACTGCAATTGATGAATTTTAACTGAAACAATAGGAGGTGCAGCCATAATTTTTGTGTGAAGTGGAATGATGAAGCAGACATCTTGTTACCAGAGGACAGCTGTTACACCAAATTTCTCTCACCCTGGGAGGTGGGTGTGAGGGTGAAGGAAGGGTGACTGGTTTACCTAAACAAGTGAAAAAGCAACCCTGGCTGACACAGTTGGAATTTTGTCTGAGAACAGCTTGTAGTACAAAAGCTGCCTGGTTATGGGTTCAGCCACAAAAAAAATTTCAAGGATCAATCCTTCATTTTCATTCCTCAGTGAGAACTTTTAGTTTGTTATTTAATTGTGATGTTATCCTACAGGAATTCAACATCAATTGCTACAAGCCTGGGAACGGAGAAACATCTATCATATCCGTCTCTAGCAATCTAGACGTTGAGGTGTCTCTGCCACTCCTCAAGCACACCATGTCTTGTGTTTCTCCACCTCTCTCTGCATCATCATCATCATCGTCATCATCATCATCATCATCCAAGGCAAACACAAGTGAAGAAAGTCAACCAAAGAAACAGAAAGTCCTTCATGGTGTTCTCATCATGAAGAATAATGTGAGTCAAGTTATATTGTGTGTGGGTCTCGGAGTGTACACTGTAAGTTGTCCAAGTGTTTGAACACCTTGGGACTTGGAGAGGTCGGGATGATAAAAGAAAGGTGCCCAGGTACTGTACAGCTGTAAAGTACATAGATGAAAAAAGAAAGATAAAATTTGACCTCAATTTTACTGTAGTATTAGAACATAGTTGAATGTTTTAGTATCGTATATTCACTGAAAAATATTGTCTTAATACAATTTTAATACATCTTAAACAAATTATTACTTGTAGTTGACTTCCGTCATTAAACTCACCACAGTGGTAAAGTATTGTGGAAGAGTAATTAGCTAGAGATGAGAAGCTGATTGAATGAGCTCGGTGAGAATTTAATTTATTTATTTAATCCCTTGTATACTGTAGTATAGTATATTTTATTACCATCACTTTTCCTTTCTTAATATTTTGTATAACTTGTGGTAATCTGTACCTTTGAACCGCTCCTCCCCAGAGTGTGAGGATAGTTGGAGTAAACGAGGCGTGGGGTGAACTGGGAGTGGCGTCTCATCAACTGAGGTTCACTGAGAGGATTGAGGTGGATGAACATGGTCCAGTTCCAACTATTACCTCGTCCTTACACACACTTTTGTCACAGTGAGTACCTTGTTGTCTTTCTTCCTTCTGTCAGGAGTGGCATTATATTCGGTGGTACGTTAATGACAGTGTCGTCAACCTTAATTTACAGCCATTTTCCGTGTTTGTTTGAGTTAGATAAACTTCCTTTCTTGACATCAATTTACAGCAGTGTCCTCAATGTTTGTGTCATCCAGTAAGATCATAAATAACATTGGTATTTTGCAGGAAGCTTGGAGCATCACAGGTACAAGCTGTGAATGAATTCCAGCTCTCAGTAGCTGACTCTGTCTTTATCAATATTCATGATGACGAACCTGGCAAGACGATCCTTCTTTCCTGGACACATCAGGTCAGTTTCAATCAAAATCACATGACTGTTTTTAGTTTCTCTTCAATGAACACTTCCTTATGTTTGATGATAACTGGCAGTAACATAAAAGGTTTCAATGTTTATTCACTTAATTATAGCTTGAAGTGACTCACAGTTGGTTGGTAATAAGTGACCCATGAGATGCACCCATACCAAGTGTGTGCAGAACACTACAATAGACAGTCACCAAAAGAGACAGAGTATTGTAGCAAGTCTAAACAAACTTCACTAATACCAAATACAGTAAAACAAACATAATTCCTACGCCTCTAATTCAAAATCATAATGTTTTGCTGTTACAAAATATATGTTATAAATTTGTAATATTTGGTAAAATTTTTAATTATGAGAGACAATTACGAATATATATACGTATATCACACTCACGTTGCCATGGGATGCGACCCCCGTCTCAGTGTAAACAAAGTACTATATGCATGACACGTGTCAGACCTGTCAGTTACGGTCAGTTCCCACGTAAACTTTTTCCAGTTGTTTTTTCATCGTTGTCCAGTGTTTGAGCCATTATGTCTGGTAACCCTGGACCAAGCACCTGTGTCTGGTATAGATGTGTTGTACTTAAGAGACGTTTAATTTTTGCTTGGGGAAGATAATGGAAAAGTGTCGTTGTTTTTGTTGTTTTTCCTCAGGAGGTGTCCCTCATATTTTGTAAAAATCTCATAATTCGTAAGGACTAGAGCCTCTGTTAATTTGAATTATGGGGCTTTACTGTACGTGTGTGTATAGAAAAATCAGAGCATATGAACAGTACTTTGACGTCTATGATATTTAAGTTAGGTTGTCAAATTGTTACACATACAGTATATGAAAAGAAGTATCAGTGAACAACAGTTAAGAAAATATGAATTGTTAATGACACTCGATATAAACAAAACAGCTTACTGCAGCAGAACACAGCTGTGGGCAAATGTTTTATATTATTTTATTAGGCAGCAAAATAAGTTTAACAAAGCCTTGTGTATGCAGGCAAATGTATATAATAAAAAAATAGAATTTAACACTCCAAATGCAGTGGAGGAATTTTTTTTTTTTTTTTTGGCTGCCAGAAGTAATAACAGTGCCAAGCACATATTGAGATGTTCAAAAGTAATAAATGTCAGGTTAGCCTTTGACAATGTAAAGTTTTTTTAATTGTTTTTTTGTGTGTGTTATTTGCAGTTTCTTATAAAGGATATCATAAATGTTTGGGGTAAATGTGATGCTTTTTTCTTTGAGTGAGGTTGAGCAGTATTCCACAGCTGTTCTGATAATACACTACTGTACTGTACTGTACAGTGCAGTAGCCTGTAAAGTTTTTCCTTGAGTTGTACAGTATTATGTGATTGTACCTGTGAACTGTCTTCCTTCAGGATGAGGCCCTTGGAAGTAAACTCTTGGACATCATCAGAAGTACCTACAAGAAGGGGTAGTCCAGTGATGTCCTTCATCTGTCTCAGTTTACTGTACTAAGGATTTGATGGAAACCAAATTGAATGTTTGGATGAACTTTAGGAACTTAAAACTAAAACAGGAAAAGTTAATTTGTAAATTAAAAATAGATATAAGCAGTATGGAGATCAGGGTAAAACTACCTAGAGAAACAAGGGAGTGGGCAGGAACTACCCCTTGGCCACACCAAGCTTCTCATCCTAAGTATGAGGAATTTTTTAAAATATTTTTTACACTGAAAAAAATATATTTTGAGAAATTTTCAATTTCTTCAGTTAAATTTTATAGAAATTTCTGTTAAGAATTCCAGATGTGTCCAGAGTGCACCTCTCACTACTACTTTCCCACACATTGGTTCAGGAGGACACTCACTCCCCACACCATGGTCCAAAGACCATTATACTGTTACCTCATTATCCCCCTCCTATACTCCCAGGTCATTTTATCCTCATTTGGCCCACAGTACAGATCGATGTTCATAGTTATAAACATATTTTGTATCCATTAAAAAGGATCTCTTTTTAGTGATCTGTGTTTGTTTTCATAATCCTTCATTGACCTATAAGTACAGTAAAAAAAAACCATAATTCAAAATAACAGGGACTCTAGCCCGTATGATTTATGAAATTTTACAAAATATGAGGGACACCTGAGAAACAACGGTTACTTTTTCGTAGTCTGCCCCCAATCAAAATATAAACATATATATTTCCAATACCTGTTGAAGTGCTTGGTCCACAGTTATCAGACATGATGGCTCAAACACCTGGGCAATAATAGAAAAACAAGTGAGAAAAATTGCGCTGCAGACTGTAGATATGTACTCCACAAATAGCCAAAGTGAACTGACCAATTTTCTTGACACTGAGGCAGGTCGGGCAGTCGCATCCCATGGTGACATGTGCATCATATATATTTGTAAATGTCTCGTTTCAAAATTTTACCAAATATTAAGAATTATGAGTGATTTTGAATCTGAGGTGTATGAATTATGGCGGCTTTACTGTATGAAGAAAATGCTGTACAGGTATCCCTTGATAAATGAATGCTCAAGATACAGAAATTCAGTAATACAATTTCCTAAAGTACCACCTCTTTTACATACTACAAAAGCTTCCTCTGCTTATACGAAATTGGGTTCCGGCAAATATTCAAATCACAGCCCCCGACCGGGAGTCAGCTGGGGCGGTCACATCCCCCAGCGCTCTCCCTACCAGGCTGAGGTAGGAGTTATGTCATGATTATTTTTCCACTCATTATTTTTGTACCTATAAACATAACTCTCGTCATATTTCTTCACTCAGTTACATGCACACACAATCCTGCATACATAATGTGCAAAAAAAAGTAAAATAAAATTGCTATCATAAGGTCAAAAACATAAAGGGAATAAACATTTCTTTGTGTGTGTGAGCGAGGGAGGAAGCATTGCTGGTTGGCAGAGGCGGCCGGGCCGGTTGCTATAGTGTTGCTTGAGGGGTGAGGTAAGGTTCTACAGTGTGAGAGGTGAGGTAATGTTCCACAGTGTGAGAGGTGAGGTAATGTTCTACAGTGTGAGAGGTGAGGTAATGTTCTACAGTGTGAGAGGTGAGGTAATGTTCTACAGTGTGAGGGGTGAGGTAATGTTCTACAGTGTGAGAGGTGAGGTAATGTTCTACAGTATGAGAGGTGAGGTAATGTTCTACAGTGTGAGAGGTGAGGTAATGTTCTACAGTGTGAGAGGTGAGGTAATGTTCTACAGTGAGAGGTGAGGTAATGTTCCACAGTGTGAGAGGTGAGGTAATGTTCTACAGTGAGAGGTGAGGTAATGTTCTACAGTGTGAGAGGTGAGGTAATGTTCTACAGTGTGAGAGGTGAGGTAATGTTCTACAGTATGAGAGGTGAGGTAATGTTCTACAGTGTGAGAGGTGAGGTAATGTTCTACAGTGTGAGAGGTGAGGTAATGTTCTACAGTGTGAGAGGTGAGGTAATGTTCCACAGTGTGAGAGGTGAGGTAATGTTCTACAGTATGAGGGGTGAGACAGATCTACAGGTGGTCCACTACAGTACAGTGCTGGCCATGGCTCACTGTCTACCACTACACTGTGGCCTTGTGTTGGGAGAATTAGTTATTGACGGCTATTAATTTATCATAACTACCACTACTACTACTATTACTGCTACTACTACTACTGCTATTACTACTACTATTACTACTATTATTACTACTATCACCACTACCATTACTATCACTACCACCACCACCACTACCACTATTACCATGATCCATACCTACACAACAGAGAGAAAGAATCAGTCACCAATAAAGTGACAGACAGACACACACAGACAGGTTCCCCAGAGGCCAGACTCAACCAAGATTGATTTTATCGAACGACGGTACCATCACCCACCCCCCCAGCCCCCAGCCAGGTATAAGCAGGCCGAGGATAAATAATGCAAATGTTCCTCGACCAAACCCTACTGTGTGATGACCCCCACTGACTTGACCTGACCTAACCCCGTGTGTGAGTGTGTTTATGGTGGCTGAAGTGTTAAATCTCTCTCTCTCTCTCACTGTACACCTCCCTCCATCCTCTATCCCTCCATCCTCCCTTCTTCTGTCCCTCCCTCGTCTCCCATTCCGTCTCCAGGTGCCCCGAGGAGAGGAGAAGTTCCTAAAGGTGGGGCAGGAGATATTTTGGTTATATCTCGGGTATATAATTTGGGATATATTAATAACTTAGTACTTTGTTGACAACTGTTCTTTTTTTTATAAACTTTGAATCATGTTGTACACTTTTTGTTTATGGCTATAGGGAGGGCGGTGTCCATTGTTCATCACAGTGGCTATTTAGGATGTCAGACTAGGACCCAAGCAGTGGTAGGACTTTTAATATATAGGACACTCGGGCTTAGGATCCTTCAACACGAGATAAGACACACGCACACACACACACACACACACACACAGAGACAGACAGACGTAAAATATCAGATTAATAGTAAAATAGAAGCTATTAGAATGATAAAGGTCGGGTAATGACTCACACACTCGGGGTGACATACGCACGCGTGTTCATGTCTCGGTGCCGATATACTGTAGCTAGCGCGGTCTTCCTCCACTTAACCACGTGCACTCGCCCTCACTGCCTGCCTGGTGATTGGTGCTCTGGTCATGAGATGGTGAAGAAGACAAGGCTTGGTGATTGACTGTCAGTGAGTGGTGATCGTGATAAGAACTTCCTGTAGTGATCAGAGTGTTTGGTGAAATAAGACTCTGATATTGGTGAAGAGTTAAACCATGTTGGGGAAATTGGTGACTACACGGATCTTGGTGATGAACAGTCAAACTAACCAACCGAACAGTTACCAATTAGTGACAAACTGGTGCTCCTCTCGTGACTGGTAACTGAGAACGTAGTTACTCTTAAAAAGATAATCGATACTTAAATAATTACTTACAAGAGGAACTATACTTATATAATCACTTAGAAGAATATAATGGTGTTTATTTATCGGGGATGCGAACCAAGGTACTGAAGGTGATCACCCTAACGCCTATCCACTAACCCACAGCTGAATGGTAAGTTGAGATAATTTATATAAAAAAAAAATATTGGTGATAATATTAAAAATCCCAAATAATAAAGACAGACAAAATATATAGGAAATGTTAACTTAGACTTATTAAACATGTTAGTTAAAGCACTTATATACTTAAAACAACTGAAGTAGAAAACATAGAAACTTAAATAAAACTTGAGAATAACCTAACTTACTTACAATACTTCATTAACTTACCTATACACGTTAATGATAGAATATTTACCTCCAGTATGAAGGAGACTCAACAGTTATCACGTGTTGAGTCACTTGAGCACACGTATACTGTACAGTCAGGAAGTGAAGCAATTTAACTGTTGGAATGTTTATAAATATCTTTACATCTACCAAAAAAAAAAAAAAAACTACCCTCACAGCGTCACCGGCAAAAGCTATGTTTATTTTGGTTGTGTTTTGTGCTGAATAATACGGTTACAAACGTGAAATTTTATCCGTTTTAATGTACTTTTTTTTATTACGATCTACTACAGGGACCTATATATACTGTACCTGGTAAACACTGTAGTATATTGGTTCACATAAAGATTAGACCACCTAGCTCATCTGACGTAACCTAACCCAAGCTAACCTAGTCAAACCCAAGCTAACCTAATCTAACCCAAGCTAACCTCATCTAACCCAACCTAATCTAACCTAACCCAAGCTAACCTAATCAAACCCAAGCTAACCTAATCTAACCCAACCTAACCTAACCCAAGCTAACCTAGTCAAACCCAAGCTAACCTAATCTAACCCAACCTAATCTAACCCAAACCTAAACTAACCCAATAAAACCAACCTAATCTAATTTAACTTAACCTAACCAAACTCCACCTAATTTAACCAAATGTTACCCTTGGTTCACACAGGTAAAAACATCCACACCTGCCATCATTAATAATATACACCTGGTCCTTGAAAGTTACCGAGACTGAAGGAACAACTTGGAATCTTCTCCTGTATAACTCACCAATAATGCATGCTGCTCCTCCACCGTCTTGAGGCTGACCTTTGGGTTAAAATTATACGAGCGACCCTGAAGGTACAACTTGAACAACCTCCAAGTTATAACTCACAAATAATTCACGTTTTGTATGTGTCTCGACGCCATCTTGAGACTAACGTATCTGGTGACCACACACACACACACGCACACACACACAAGCGACACTCAATTCTCCACAAATAATTCAAGTTCCTCCTTCAGTATCTCGTCACCATCTTAAGGGTGACGTCTCTAGTGGAAATAATTCACACCTCGACCTACACCCTCGAGTAAGGACGAAGTATTTCTGGGTGTTCATTAATATTTTCTGTACTGACTGAGGCATAAGAAATTGAACCTTTAGTTATTTCTTGATTTTAATAACAACAAAAAGATGACCAGGAATAACACTTGTGAACTTAGGGAGTTATTGATGAACAGGTGTGGGTTATTGATGAACAGGTGTGGGTTATTGATGAACAGGTGTGGGTTATTCATGAACAGGTGTGGGTTATTGATGAACAGGTGTGGGTGATTGATGAACAGGTGTGGGTGATTGATGAACAGGTGTAAGTTATTGATGAACAGGTGGGGTTATTGATGAACAGGTGTGGGTTATTGATGAACAGGTGTGGGTTATTGATGAACAGGTGTGGGGTTATTGATGAACAGGTGTGGGTGATTGATGAACAGGTGGGTGATTGATGAACAGGTTGTTGATGAACAGGTGGGGTTATTGATGAACAGGTGTGGGTTATTGATGAACAGGTGTGTGATTGATGAACAGGTGTGGTATTGATGAACAGGTGGGGTTATTGATGAACAGGTGTGGGTTATTGATGAACAGGTGTGGTTATTGATGAACAGGTGTGGGTTATTGATGAACAGGTGTGGGTTATTATGGTTGGGTTATTGATGAACAGGTGTGGGTTATTGATGAACAGGTGTGGGTTTGA